CCACTAGCTCTTACTTGAAGCAGCCACTAGCTCTTACTTGAAGCAGCCCTCTAGCTATTACTTGAAGAAACCTCTAGCCCTTACTTAAAGCATCCACTAGCCTTTACTTGAAGCAGCCTTCCAGCCTTTACCTGAAGCAGCCACTAGCCTTTACTTGAAGCAGCCTTCCAGCCTTTACTTGAAGCAACCACTAGCCCTTACTTGAAGCAGCCATCTATCTCTTACTTGAAGAAGCCCTCTAGCTATTACTTGATGGAGCCCTTCTGATCTTACATGAATCAGCCCCAAATCTGTTACATAAAGTAACCCACAGCTTTATTTCTTATCTGAAGCAGCTCTCTATCTCTTATTTGAAGGAGTTCACTCACTAGTCTGCAGATATGAAGGTTGCAAGTTTGATCAATGAAAATATAAAATTAATGATATTTGGTGTTTAAAACTGGGGGAGTTTAAATTCATACTGTGTCATATCTATATATAAAACTTAAGCCTACTCACCTTTATTTGAAGCATCCCTCTAGTCTTTACTTGAAGCATCCATAAGCCCTTACTTGAAGTGGCCCCCTAGCCTTTACTTGAAGCAACCACTCGCCTTTACTTGAAGCAGCCACTAGCCCTTACTTGAAGAAGCCCACTTGCCTTTACTTGAAGCAGCCAACTCGCCTTTACTTGAAGCATCCCTCTAGTCTTTATTTGAAGCATCCACTAGCCTTTACTTGAAGCAGCCTTCCAGCCTTTACTTGAAGCAACCACTAGCCCTTACTTGAAGCAGTCATCTATCTCTTACTTGAAGAAGCCCTCTAGCTCTTACTTGATGGAGCCCTTCTGATCTTACTTGAATCAGCCCCAAATCTGTTACATAAAGTAACCCACAGCTCTATTTCTTATCTGAAGCAGCTCTCTATCTCTTATTTGAAGGAGTTCACTCACTAGTCTGCAGATATGAAGGTTGCAAGTATGATCAATGAAAATATAAAATCAATGATATCTGATGTTTAAAACTGGAGGAGTTTATATATATACTGTGTCATATCTATATATAAAACTTCCAGGATTTTATATATAAAATCCCGGGTATTGCACAAGTTGGGGATTTTATGAGATATAAAGATGTTGACAGGACAATGGGATGACATCACTGGAGGTTTATAAAGGTGTGCAAGAAACTGATGATCAGTGGTTCATATCCCAGGTTTGCCCTGATTTTGTTTCTAGGTTTGTCAGCACCCTACATAGATTTCATCAATGCGGTAAATGTCTAGGACATGCATCACTTAGGGCTTTCCTCTCACAACAAGCTGACACACCATGATATTTATGTAACTGAAATACTGGTCAAAGCAGCAGAACAAACTCACACCCCCACTCACAAGCTTTAGGACTAACCAGAGTTTTAATTGATACAATGAGATGTATGACATATACATAGATATACTTAGTTTTGCTATTTTATTAATGTATTCCTAATGATGTGGGATATATTGAAGATTTTATATTATCGTTTATCAGTGCACACCAGTAGACCCATTGTGACAACTTGTCTACTCTGGGGGGTTATGTGTGTGCAAGATAAAATTCTCTCTTGTGTGATGTGCCTAGCATGATTGCAGGATACCAACATGAGATGGAATACATTGCTGTGTGTGTCATGTATTTGACACTCATTGTCATGCTCATGAAGGGTAAAGAGTGGCCCAGTTGTCTAAGGCACTGCAATTTGCCCTGCAGAGTTGTATCCCTTGGCAGTGCCAGTAAGCTATGATCATGGGTTTGAATCCTGGTATGCCTCAACTATGTTTCTAGGTTTGTCAGCACCATACCTGTGCTTTCCTCCCTCCCGAAACAAGCCCTTACTTGAAGCAGCTCCCAGAGCAGCCCTCTAGCCCCTACTTGAAGCAGCCACTAGCCCTTACTTGAAGCAGCCACTAGCCCTCACTTGAAGCAGCCCTCTGACCCTCACTGGAAGCAGCCTTCTAGCCCTCACTGGAAGCAACCACTAGCCCTCACTTGAAGCAGCCCACTCGCCTTTACTTAAAGTAGCCCACTCGCCTTTACTTGAAGCAGCCCTATAGTCTTTACTTGAAGCATCCACTAGCCCCTACTTGAAGCAGCCCTCCTGCTCTTACTTGAAGCAGCCCTCCTGCCCTTACTTGAAGCAGCCACTAGCCTTTACTTGAAGCAACCACTAGCCCTCACTTGAAGCAGCCTTCTAGCTCTTACTTGAAGCATCCACTAGCCTTTACTTGAAGCAGCCTTACAGCCTTTACTTGAAGCAATCACTAGCCCTTACTTGAAGCAGCCATCTATCTCTTACTTGTAGAAGCCCACCAGCCCTCACTTGAAGCAACCACTAGCCCTCACTTGAAGCAGCCTTCTAGCTCTTACTTGAAGCATCCACTAGCCTTTACTTGAAGCAGCCTTACAGCCTTTACTTGAAGCAATCACTAGCCCTTACTTGAAGCAGCCATCTATCTCTTACTTGAAGAAGCCCACCAGCTCTTACTTGATGGAGCCCTTCTGATCTTACTTGAATCAGCCCCAAATCTGTTACATAAAGTAATGCACAGCTCTATTTCTTACCTGAAGCAGCAAGTAGCCCTTACTTGAAGAAGCCCACTCACCTTTACTTGAAGCAGCTCACTTGCCTTTACTTGAAGCAGCTCACTTGCCTTTACTTGAAGCAGCCACTAGCTCTTACTTGAAGCAGCCCTCTAGCTATTATTTGAAGAAGCCACAAGCCTTTACTTGAAGCAGCTCACTTGCCTTTACTTGAAGCAGCTCACTTGCCTTTACTTGAAGCAGCCACTAGCTCTTACTTGAAGCAGCCCTCTAGCTATTATTTGAAGAAGCCACAAGCCTTTACTTGAAGCAGCTCTCTTGCCTTTACTTGAAGCGGCTCACTTGCCTTTACTTGAAACAGCTCACTTGCCTTTACTTGAAGCTGCCACAAGCTCTTACTTGAAGCAGCCATCTATCGCTTACTTGAAGCATCCACTAGCCTTTACTTGAAGCAGCCTTACAGCCTTTACTTGAAGCAATCACTAGCCCTTACTTGAAGCAGCCATCTATCTCTTACTTGAAGAAGCCCACCAGCTCTTACTTTATGGAGCCCTTCTGATCTTACTTGAATCATCCCCAAATCTGTTACATAAAGTAATGCACAGCTCTATTTCTTACCTGAAGCAGCAAGTAGCCCTTACTTGAAGAAGCCCACTCACCTTTACTTGAAGCAGCTCACTTGCCTTTACTTGAAGCAGCTCACTTGCCTTTACTTGAAGCAGCCACTAGCTCTTACTTGAAGCAGCCCTCTAGCTATTATTTGAAGAAGCCACAAGCCTTTACTTGAAGCAGCTCACTTGCCTTTACTTGAAGCAGCTCACTTGCCTTTACTTGAAGCAGCCACTAGCTCTTACTTGAAGCAGCCCTCTAGCTATTATTTGAAGAAGCCACAAGCCTTTACTTGAAGCAGCTCACTTGCCTTTACTTGAAGCAGCTCACTTGCCTTTACTTGAAGCAGCCACTAGCTCTTACTTGAAGCAGCCCTCTAGCTATTATTTGAAGAAGCCACAAGCCTTTACTTGAAGCAGCTCTCTTGCCTTTACTTGAAGCGGCTCACTTGCCTTTACTTGAAACAGCCCTCTAGCTATTACTTGAAGAAGCCACTAGCCTTAACTTGAAGCAACTCACTTGCCTTTACTTGAAGCGGCTCACTTGCCTTTACTTGAAGCTGCCACAAGCTCTTACTTGAAGCAGCCATCTATCGCTTACTTGAAGCATCCACTAGCCTTTACTTGAAGCAGCCTTCCAGCCTTTACTTGAAGCAACCACTAGCCCTTACTTGAAGCAGTCATCTATCTCTTACTTGAAGAAGCCCTCTAGCTTTTACTTGATGGAGCCCTTCTGATCTTACTTGAATCAGCCCCAAATCTGTTACATAAAGTAACCCACAGCTCTATTTCTTATCTGAAGCAGCTCTCTATCTCTTATTTGAAGGAGTTCACTCACTAGTCTGCAGATATGAAGGTTGCAAGTATGATCAATGAAAATATAAAATCAATGATATCTGATGTTTAAAACTGGGGGAGTTTATATATATACTGTGTCATATCTATATATAAAACTTCCAGGATTTTATATATAAAATCCCGGGTATTGCACAAGTTGGGGATTTTATGAGATATAAAGATGTTGACAGGACAATGGGATGACATCACTGGAGGTTTATAAAGGTGTGCAAGAAACTGATGATCAGTGGTTCATATCCCAGGTTTGCCCTGATTTTGTTTCTAGGTTTGTCAGCACCCTACATAGATTTCATCAATGCGGTAAATGTCTAGGACATGCATCACTTAGGGCTTTCCTCTCACAACAAGCTGACACACCATGATATTTATGTAACTGAAATACTGGTCAAAGCAGCAGAACAAACTCACACCCCCACTCACAAGCTTTAGGACTAACCAGAGTTTTAATTGATGCAATGAGATGTATGACATATACATAGATATACTTAGTTTTGCTATTTTATTAATGTATTCCTAATGATGTGGGATATATTGAAGATTTTATATTATCGTTTATCAGTGCACACCAGTAGACCCATTGTGACAACTTGTCTACTCTGGGGGGTTATGTGTGTGCAAGATAAAATTCTCTCTTGTGTGATGTGCCTAGCATGATTGCAGGATACCAACATGAGATGGAATACATTGCTGTGTGTGTCATGTATTTGACACTCATTGTCATGCTCATGAAGGGGAAAGAGTGGCCCAGTTGTCTAAGGCACTGCAATTTGCTGTGTAGAGTTGTGTCCTTTGGCAGCCCTCAATATCTTACCTGAAGCAGCCCTTTTCCTACTTGAAGCAGCCCAATAGCTATATCTCTTACTTCAAGTGGCCCACTAGCTCTTATTTGGTGGTTCCCTCAGTGTCTAACTGAACATTTTCATAGCATATTATCAAGGTATGGATCATCTGAGCTGAATGTACATGTTCTTTCAGAGCTACATTGTCTGTGAGCTGCATGAGAAACTTGGTATGCTGTGGTCATTTGTCAAGAATCACCTCAAGTCCAAGGTTCTGGTCTTCCTGTCCTGCTGCAAGGAGGTAGGATTACCACCATCATTCCACTGGGGCCAGTCCAGTCTCAACCTGGGGCAGCTCATTGTGTAGGAGGAAGTTTTTATTTTATAACAAAGTTACTGATTTGATAGCCTCCGTGAAGATTCAGGTAAGAATCGTCTTCAGCAACCCGAACTTGTCAAAAGAGGCAACTATCGGGATCGGGTGGTCAGGTTTGCTGACTTGGTTGATGCTTGTCATCATATTCCAATTGCGTAGATCAATGCTCATGATGTCAACCACTGGATTGTCTGGCCCAGATACAATTACTTACAGACTGCCGTCATGTAGCTGGAATATTGCTGGGTGTGGTGTTAAACTAGAAACAAATAAACAAAATAACTTATTTGATAGATAAAATGTGCAAAATACTGTTGTATATATAACAGCACAATATAAACATCAGTATTTGTCATGATACAATGTTTCAAAACATCCTGTTTGTTGTTATATGTCCATGGTGTTTCCATTGTTTGTGTACAGCAAGACTTTGAGTTCACAAACCTGATCACCCAACAGAAGTAACGGTTGTTTGAAACAGCTTGATGTATGAGGTCCTGTTGGTCTGAGGGAGTAGTCAATGTTGTTTGAAACAGCTTGATGTATGAGGTCCTGTTTGTCTGAAGGAGTAGTCAATGTTGTTTGAAACAGCTTGATGTATGAGGTCCTGTTGGTCTGAAGGAGTAGTCAATGTTGTTTGAAACAGCTTGATGTATGAGGTCCTGTTTGTCTGAAGGAGTAGTCAATGTTGTTTGAAACAGCTTGATGTATGAGGTCCTGTTGGTCTGAAGGAGTAGTCAATGTTGTTTGAAACAGCTTGATGTATGAGGTCCTGTTGGTCTGAAACTGCACTGTTGTTGAGTGTCCAAGGTATAACATTTGTGTGGCTGGCACCATTTCACACATTTCCACAGATGGGTCACACAGCAGTAATGCTTAGTCCTCTAGGACCTCACTGTGTTCCTGTGTACAATCGGCCCATTATAGGTGTGCATGTTAATCAAACAGGGTGGAATAAAATTTATATTCAACTTTTCATGGAAAGACAGTATTATGAGTATCGCAAACAGTCGACCATTTGGATTGCTTTATTCACACTTTCATTAATACGAATATGCCAAAGGCAATTGTGCTGGAGATCAGACTTGTGAGCTGAAACTTCCTGTACTTTGAAGGCCATATAAACTCTACCTGTTCTTGTTTTACACTACAACGGTTGTAAGTCTATATTAAAGTATGGGAGTTACAATCACAGAACTACGATTGCTCTGTGGAAGGGGGCCCTGTGGATGAGAAGATCTAATCATGCTGAATAGGGGAGACTGGAATTTCTGTCAATAATATGTTGTCTCTTCAGGTGAAATATATTTATGAGGCGTTCAAGCGTATGCGGCCAGGCGTGACTGTGTTGTGTCTCCATGGGGCCATGAACCAGCTGAGGAGGGTGGAGGTGTATAACTCCTTCTGCCGGAAACACAATGCTCTGCTGCTGGCTACCGATGTTGCTGCCAGGGGACTGGGTATGTGGGATTGCAATTGTTGTCTCAAACCACACTGACAATATTTGGCAAGGTTTCTTTGTAGAACGATTACGTCACCTCCATTATAATGTGGTCAACTTTAGTCTGTAGAATTTGTATTCAAAGAAGGAAGAGAACTCTTGAATCATTGCAGTACTAAAGAACCATAATATCTTCAAATTTAGTGTCTATTTTCCTGTTGACCACTCTCAATAAAATCAGATCTAAGTTCTCAGTACCGCTAAACAAAGATTACTTCAGATCGATCTTTCGTGAACTTTGACAAGAAGTTAACATAACCAATCAGAAAGCAGCTTTCTCAAGTTACACGGCAATAGTTTCAAACCGGCGACTTCCATTCCAGATTGTACAGTCCGTACCTGTCGATCTCGTGTTAACCAATTTGAGTTTGCATGATTTGAAAACACATTCCGATTGTTGATTAAAAGGTCATTCTGAAATGACCTGTAATGGGAAGATCTGATTTTAATGAGATTGCCTCTTGGCTCATATTGATTGTTAGGAGGATAATGATTGATTATTACTGAGATGTGATTCATCAACACTTCTGTAATAAGTTATAGCATATATATTTTGACCAAAAAAAATCTAAATGAAACAGTTGTTGTAGTTGGACTGCTATGTGCTCCAGATTTCCCCGCTGTGAACTGGGTTGTGCAGCTGGACTGCCCTGAGGATGCAAACACCTACATCCACCGAGCCGGACGCACAGCCAGGTAGGTGGACAATGTGCAGCTGTGGTGTGGGTTGACAATGTTCAGGTGTGGTGTAGGTGGACAATGTGGAGGTGTGGTGTAGTGGACAATGTGCAGGTGTGGTGTAGTGGACAATGTGCAGGCGTGATGTAGTGGAAAATGTGCAGGTGTGGTGTAGGTGGACAGTATGCATGTGTGGTGTAGGTGGACAATGTACAGGTGTGGTGTAGGTGGACAATGTGCAGGTGTGGTGAAGGTGGACAATGTGCAGGTGTGGTGAAGGTGTATGATGTACAGGTGTGGTGTAGGTGGACAGTATGCAGGTGTGGTGTAGATGGACAATGTGCAGGTGTGGTGAAGGTGTATGATGTACAGGTGTGGTGTCGGTGGACAGTATGCAGGTGTGGTGTAGGTGGACAATGTACAGGTGTGGTGTAGGTGGACAATATGCAGGTGTGGTGTGGGTGTATGATGTACAGGTGTGGTGTAGGTGGACAGTATGCAGGTGTGGTGTAGGTGGACAATGTGCAGGTGTGGTGTAGGTGGACAATATGCAGGTGTGGTGTAGGTGGGCAATGTACAGGTGTGGTGTAGATGGACAATGTGCAGGTGTGGTGTAGGTGGACAATATGCAGGTGTGGTGTAGGTGGGCAATGTACAGGTGTGGTGTAGGTGGACAATGTACAGGTGTGGTGTAGGTGGACAATATGCAGGTGTGGTGTGGGTGTATGATGTACAGGTGTGGTGTAGGTGGACAGTATGCATGTGTGGTGTAGGTGGACAATGTACAGGTGTGGTGTAGTGGACAATATGCAGGTGTGGTGTAGGTGGGCAATGTACAGGTGTGGTGTAGGTGGACAATGTACAGGTGTGGTGTAGGTGGACAATATGCAGGTGTGGTGTGGGTGTATGATGTACAGGTGTGGTGTAGGTGGACAGTATGCAGGTGTGGTGTAGTGGACAATGTGCAGGTGTGGTGTAGGTGGACAATGTACAGGTGTGGTGTAGTGGACAATATGCAGGTGTGGTGTAGTGGACAATATGCAGGTGTGGTGTAGTGGACAATGTGCAGGTGTGGTGTAGGTTGACAATGTACAGGTGTGGTGTAGGTGGACGATTTTCAGGTGTGGTGTAGGTGGACAATGTACAGGTGTGGTGTAGTGGACAATATGCAGGTGTGGTGTAGTGGACAATATGCAGGTGTGGTGTAGTGGACAATGTTCAGGTGTGGTGTAGGTGGACAGTATGCATGTGTGGTGTAGGTGGACAATGTACAAGTGTGGTGTAGGTGGACAATGTGCAGGTGTGGTGTAGGTGGACAATGTGCAGGTGTGGTGTAGGTTGACAATGTGCAGGTGTGGTGTAGGTGGGCAATGTACAGGTGTGGTGTAGGTTGACAATGTGCAGGTGTGGTGTAGGTGTATGATGTACAGGTGTGGTGTATAGTCTGGAAGTTAATTTAAGGTACCGACGTTTACTACAATATCTGAAAAACTATTGGACCTACTCAAGTCAAAGTTGGTATGAAATTATACATAACTGGATATTACATTTAAAGACAATCGGTGGATGAATAAAAAATCTGTCTATTTAGCTATCACTATATTTCATCAACAACCAGACCTGTTCGTCACGGGTGGAACAAGCATTCATTGTAACAGCCATCTGCATAATGCTACCCCTGCGTCACAGGGCCATATGACACAGTTGAAACAATCAACTCAACTCAAAAGGTTGCATGGGAATCACACACGCATGAATACGGTCTTAGCGTTGGGCGTCTCAAGCAGTTATTTAATAATATTTATCCAATTATTTTTGCATTCTTTTTCAGGTCAGTGTTATTGACTTGATTGTATCATTCCTTGCCACATTATTATATTTCATGCATCATGTTATTAGGTGTAATATATCATACATAATTATTCATTTAGACAAATCATTGCTTTATGGTTTCGAAGAAAATATTTAAATATTTTAGTAGATGATTCGAGACAAGGGTGAAAGAGAATCAAATTCTGAGCCAAGAAATTCTGAGCACAAAGTGGACAAGATCCGATTACGACATGTACTACAAAGCACGAACCTGAAATTCGTAGACGATTCCTAGAAATTCTTTGATAAACAAATGTTTTCTCACGAATCCCCGAACTACAAGAATGTTTGAGAATCAAATACGATATATTTAAGATTCTTTAGAAATGACTAAGAATATGTACGAATATGTAAGAATTCATATCCGTGGTAATTCGGGCTATTACATGTCGTAGTGAAACGGGTATATGTATTGCACTATTCTTGGTCCCATGAAATGCCCTCGTCGTCAGATGCGGAGTCTGTGCTGTCACCTAAATGAACAACAACGGGCTTGACAGTATCTGGTGGGATACAGTCTTGTTTCCAATACTCTTCCTCAACTTTGATAACATGTTGGACACAGTTTGCCCAACGTACATCTGTAATTTCTCCCATCCCTTCAAGACAATCTGCTTGACGTCAGCAAGCTTGAAGGTCTTATTTTGCCGTGCGACCATATTTTTCATATCACCCCAGATTAGTTCGATGGGATTCAAGTCACAATGGTAAGGAGGAAGTCTAAGCACTTCGTGACCATGTTCTCTCAACATGTTGTCAATCAAATAAGAGGGCAGGGGTTTGTTCTGAAGAACCAGTTGGTAGTTGTCACTTTTTTTGGCTTTCATGGGCCGAGCAATGTGGTTGTTGTCCAACCACTGATATACCTCACCTTTGGTGGAATTTGAGGTTGGACAACGGTTAATAGGATCTCGACAACTGTGATAGGGAGCATTGTCCATAACCACCAAGGATTTATCAGGCAGTGCTAAGAGGAGCTGCTCCTCAACATACGCAGTGAAAACCTGACTATTCATCTCGGTATGGTAGTCTCTGCCATCTGTAGATCTGGATCTGAACACTAGATCACACCCAGGGAGGAAACCTCTGTGGGAGCCTGCATGGAGGACAATCAGGCGCTCCCCTTTACCAGGGGGATCTTGCGCTGTGGGTCTCTGGTATCTGGGTGAGACCATTGGTAAGCCGCTGTGTGGCAGGTGTTAACCAGGTTTCGTCCAAATAGAAAGGCTCATAGCCTTCTTCTCGTTTCTTTTTAATAGTGCGCATATAATTGATACGCAAACCAATGATATCTGGTCGTTCACACATTGCTAGTTTCGACCCTTTTGTCTTTTTGTACTGATATCCAAATCTGGAAAGGAGTTTACAAATGGTCAATTTGGAAATATCTAAGTCATGCTCTGTAAGGAGAATTTGTTTTAGTTTTTGTGTTGAAATAAATTCATTTTCTCGTGTTAACCACCGAATCACGTCCCTGACAACTTTCTTATCAAGGGAATAACTTTAATTTCCTATCCTGTTTTGAGATGCCCCCTGAGGGATGTGCAGGGGAGCATGTATTTTTATCAGAGTTCAAATCTTAACTACGGTTTGTTTGGGAAGCTGTAACGCATGAATTGTTCTTTTCATGTACTTTGAAATGTCAAATGTTCTTTGAAATGTCAAAGAAGGGCGAACATCTTTCACTTTCGGCCTTAAAGTATTCAAATATTTTAACAACAAAACCTTTCGCATCAGCGGAAAGATGCTTGCGCTGAGACATCATGAAATCTAATGCTAACACAGTATTCGTGCGTGCGTGATTCCCGTGCAACCTATCGAGTTGAGTTGATTGGTTCAACTGTGTCATATGGCCCTGTGACGCAGGGGTAGCATTTTGCAGATACAATGAATGCTCGTTCCACCCATGACGAACAGGTCTGGTTGTTGATGAAATATAGTGATAGCTAAATAGACAGATTTTTTATTCATCCACCGATTGTCTTTAAATGTAATATCCAGTTATGTATGACTGTTTAATAATCTCATACCAACTTTGACTTGAATAGGTCCAATAGTTTTTCAGATTTTGTAGTAAACGTCAGTACCTTAAATTAACTTCCAGTCTATAGGTGGATGTACAGATGTGGTGTAGGTGGACAATGTACAGGTGTGGTGAAGGTGTATGATGTACAGGTGTGGTGTGGGTGGACAATATGCAGGTGTGGTGTGGGTGTATGATGTACAGGTGTGGTGTAGGTGGACAATACAGGTGTGGTGTAGGTGTATGATGTACAGGTGTGGTGTAGGTGTATGATGTACAGGTGTGGTGTAGGTGGACAATGCAGGTGTGGTGTAGGTGGACAATGCAGGTGTGGTGTAGGTGGACAATGTACAGGTGTGGTGTGGGTGTATGATGTACAGGTGTGGTGTAGGTGTATGATGTACAGGTGTGGTGTAGGTGGACAATGCAGGTGTGGTGTAGGTGGACAATGCAGGTGTGGTGTAGGTGGACAATGCAGGTGTGGTGTAGGTGGACAATGTACAGGTGTGGTGTAGGTGGACAATGTACAGGTGTGGTGTAGGTGGACAATGTACAGGTGTGGTGTAGGTGTATGATGTACAGGTGTGGTGTAGGTGGACAATGCAGGTGTGGTGTAGGTGTATGATGTACAGGTGTGGTGTAGGTGTATGATGTACAGGTGTGGTGTAGGTGTATGATGTACAGTTGTGGTGTAGGTGTATGATGTACAGGTGTGGTGTAGGTGTATGATGTACAGGTGTGGTGTAGGTGTATGATGTACAGGTGTGGTGTAGGTGGACAATGCAGGTGTGGTGTAGGTGTTTGATGTACAGGTGTGGTGTAGGTGGACAATGCAGGTGTGGTGTAGGTGTATGATGTACAGGTGTGGTGTGGGTGGACAATGTACAGGTGTGGTGTGGGTGGACAATGCAGGTGTGGTGTATGATGTACAGGTGTGGTGTAGGTGGACAATACAGGTGTGGTGTATGATGTACAGGTGTGGTGTAGGTGGACAATGTACAGGTGTGGTGTAGGTGGACAATGTACAGGTGTGGTGAAGGTATATGATGTACAGGTGTGGTGTGGGTGGACAATGCAGGTGTGGTGTAGGATGTACAGGTGTGGTGTAGGTGGACAATGTACAAGTGTGGTGTAGGTGGACAATGTACAGGTGTTGTGTAGGTGTATGATGTACAGGTGTGGTGTAGGTGGACAATGTACAGGTGTGGTTTCGGTGGACAATGCAGGTGTGGTGTAGAATGTACAGGTGTGGTGTGGGTGGACAATGTACAGGTGTTGTGTAGGTGGACAATATGCAGGTGTGGTGTGGGTGTATGATATACAGGTGTGGTGTAGGTGGACAATGCAGGTGTGGTGTGGGTGTATGATGTACAGGTGTGGTGTAGGTGGACAATGTGCAGGTGTGGTGTAGGTGGACAATGCAGGTGTGGTGTAGGTGTATAATGTACAGGTGTGGTGTAGGTGTTTGATGTACAGGTGTGGTGTAGGTGGACAATGTGCAGGTGTGGTGTAGGTGGACAATGCAGGTGTGGTGTAGGTGTATGATGTACAGGTGTGGTGTAGGTGTATGATGTACAGGTGTGGTGTAGGTGTATGATGTACAGGTGTGGTGTAGGTGGACAATGTACAGGTGTGGTGTAGGTGTATGATGTACATGTGTGGTGTAGGTGGACAATGTTCAGGTGTGTTGTAGGTGGACAATGTACAGGTGTGGTGTAGGTGTATGATGTACAGGTGTGGTGTGGGTGTATGATATACAGGTGTGGTGTAGGTGGACAATGCAGGTGTGGTGTAGGTGTATGATGTACAGGTGTGGTGTAGGTGTTTGATGTACAGGTGTGGTGTAGGTGGACAATGCAGGTGTGGTGTAGGTGTATGATGTACAGGTGTGGTGTAGGTGTATGATGTACAGGTGTGGTGTAGGTGGACAATGTTCAGGTGTGTTGTAGGTGGACAATGTACAGGTGTGGTGAGAGTATATGATGTACAGGTGTGGTGTAGGTGTTTGATGTACAGGTGTGGTGTAGGTGGACAATGCAGGTGTGGTTTAGGTGTATGATGTACAGGTGTGGTGTAGGTGTTTGATGTACAGGTGTGGTGTAGGTGGACAATGCAGGTGTGGTGTAGGTGTATGATGTACAGGTGTGGTGTAGGTGTTTGATGTACAGGTGTGGTGTAGGTGGACAATGTTCAGGTGTGGTGTAGGTGGACAATGTACAGGTGTGGTGTAGGTGGACAATGTACAGGTGTGGTGAAGGTATATGATGTACAGGTGTGGTGTGGGTGGACCATACAGGTGTGGTGTAGGATGTACAGGTGTGGTGTAGGTGGACAATGTACAGGTGTGGTGTAGGTGTATGATGTACAGGTGTGTTGTAGGTGGACAATGTACAGGTGTGGTTTGGGTGGACAATGCAGGTGTGGTGTAGGATGTACAGGTGTGGTGTGGGTGGACAATGTACAGGTGTGGTGTAGGTGGACAATATGCAGGTGTGGTGTGGGTGTATGATGTACAGGTGTGGTGTAGGTGGACAATGCAGGTGTGGTGTAGGTGGACAATGCAGGTGTGGTGTAGGTGTATGATGTACAGGTGTGGTGTAGGTGGACAATGTTCAGGTGTGGTGTAGGTGTATAATGTACAGGTGTGGTGTAGGTGTTTGATGTACAGGTGTGGTGTAGGTGGACAATGTGCAGGTGTGGTGTAGGTGGACAATGCAGGTGTGGTGTAGGTGGACAATGCAGGTGTGGTGTAGGTGTTTGATGTACAGGTGTGGTGTAGGTGTATAATGTACAGGTGTGGTGTAGGTGGACAATGCAGGTGTGGTGTAGGTGTATAATGTACAGGTGTGGTGTAGGTGTTTGATGTACAGGTGTGGTGTGGGTGGACAATTTGCAGGTGTGGTGTAGGTGTATGATGTACAGGTGTGGTGTAGGTGGACAATGCAGGTGTGGTGTAGGTGGACAATGTTCAGGTGTGGTGTGGGTGTATGATGTACAAGTGTGGTGTAGGTGTATGATGTACAGGTGTGGTGTAGGTGTTTGATGTACAGGTGTGGTGTAGGTGGACAATGCAGGTGTGGTGTAGGTGGACAATGCAGGTGTGGTGTGGGTGTATGATGTACAGGTGTGGTGTAGGTGTTTGATGTACAGGTGTGGTGTAGGTGGACAATGCAGGTGTGGTGTAGGTGTATGATGTACAGGTGTGGTGTAGGTGTATGATGTACAGGTGTGGTCTAGGTGGACAATGTACAGGTGTGGTGTAGGTGGACAATGTACAGGTGTGGTGTAGGTGTATGATGTACATGTGTGGTGTAGGTGGACAATGTTCAGGTGTGTTGTAGGTGGACAATGTACAGGTGTGGTGTAGGTGTATGATGTACAGGTGTGGTGTGGGTGTATGATATACAGGTGTGGTGTAGGTGGACAATGCAGGTGTGGTGTAGGTGTATGATGTACAGGTGTGGTGTAGGTGTTTGATGTACAGGTGTGGTGTAGGTGGACAATGCAGGTGTGGTGTAGGTGTATGATGTACAGGTGTGGTGTAGGTGTATGATGTACAGGTGTGGTGTAGGTGGACAATGTTCAGGTGTGTTGTAGGTGGACAATGTACAGGAGTGGTGTAGGTGTATGATGTACAGGTGTGGTGTAGGTGTTTGATGTACAGGTGTGGTGTAGGTGGACAATGTTCAGGTGTGGTGTAGGTGGACAATGTTCACGTGTGGTGTAGGTGGACAATGTTCAGGTGTGGTGTAGGTGGACAATGTTCAGGTGTGGTGTAGGTGGACAATGTTCAGGTGTGGTGTAGGTGGACAATGTTCAGGTGTGGTGTAGGTGGACAATGTTCAGGTGTGGTGTAGGTGGACAATGTTCAGGTGTTGTGTAGGTGGACAATGTTCAGGTGTGGTGTAGGTGGACAATGTTGAGGTGTGGTGTAGGTGGACAATGTTCAGGTGTGGTGTAGGTGGACAATGTTCAGGTGTGGTGTAGGTGGACAATGTTCAGGCGTTGTGTAGCGGACAATGTACAGGTGTGGTCCATAAAGTGACTTCTTACAACATGGATAGGTTGCTAGGGACCAATCCTGACGAGGAATGCTAGCAGGGCATCAGGATAAGATGACTATTACATGTATGAGTTGTGTTAAGCTAAAGCAGTATAAACTGTCCACATGAAACAGGTATCATACAGTTATTGACATCTTATATATTATTCCATATATATTCCATCAGCTGAATAGGTCTGACCACTTGCCATGCAAACTTGCCCAGGTGTGGCAATCTTTGAAAAAATGTATGTTTTGAAAAACTAGGTTATCTTGTGTGTCCTGATGATCCTGATTTTGGTGTAGGTACGAGAAGGATGGCGAGGCATTGCTGGTGTTGCTGCCGTCGGAGGAGGATGCTATGGTGCAGCAGCTGCAGGACAAGAAGATACCTGTCAACAGAATCAAGTGAGCTCACCTTACATGTTGCATTAAGATTAACCTCTTCCACAATTACAGGAAAGTACAAGAAATCTTAAGCTATTATGGGGGCTACTTAAAGCACTATTACATCCAGGAGGATTACCTATGGATAGATCCCCACATCTACTCCCAGGTTTACAGGTGAGGGAACAACAGTCGTCTATTGTCAGCACAGGGAACTGTTGGTGTTGTCGTGATACAGATACATGGAGGAAAGGAAGTAAGCTGTTATCGGAAATTTTTTCAAAAGTTTCTTGACTTCGCAAGAAAAGTAATACTACATGCTTCATTCTTGTAAATGTGCATCTGCCTTGCCATTAGAGATGTCTGGGTGGAGCCAGTGCTGATAGTGTGTTTGTTGCAGGGTGAATGTTTGGGTGGAGCCAGTGCTGATAGTGTGTTTGTTGCAGGGTGAGTGTTTGGGTGGAGCCAGTGCTGATAATGTGTTTGTTGCAGGATGAGTGTTTGGGTGGAGCCAGTGCTGATAGTGTGTTTGTTGCAGGGTGAATGTTTGGGTGGAGCCAATGCTGTTAGTGTGTTTGTTGCAGGGTGAGTGTTTGGGTGGAGCCAGTGCTGATAGTGTGTTTGTTGCAGGGTGAATGTTTGGGTGGAGCCAGTGCTGATAGTGTGTTTGTTGCAGGGTGAATGTTTGGGTGGAGCCAGTGCTGATAGTGTGTTTGTTGCAGGGTGAGTGTTTGGGTGGAGCCAGTGCTGATAATGTGTTTGTTGCAGGATGAGTGTTTGGGTGGAGCCAGTGCTGATAGTGTGTTTGTTGCAGGGTGAATGTTTGGGTGGAGCCAATGCTGTTAGTGTGTTTGTTGCAGGGTGAGTGTTTGGGTGGAGCCAGTGCTGATAGTGTGTTTGGTGCAGGGTGAGTGTTTGGGTGGAGCCAATGCTGATAATGTGTTTGTTGCAGGATGAGTGTTTGGGTGGAGCCAATGCTGATAGTGTGTTTGTTGCAGGGTGAATGTTTGGGTGGAGCCAATGCTGTTAGTGTGTTTGTTGCAGAGTGAGTGTTTGGGCGGAGCCAATGCTGATAATGTGTTTGTTGCAGGATGAGTGTTTGGGTGGAGCCAGTGCTGATAGTGTGTTTGTTGCAGGGTGAATGTTTGGGTGGAGCCAGTGCTGATAGTGTGTTTGTTGCAGGGTGAATGTTTGGGTGGAGCCAGTGCTGATAGTGTGTTTTATGGAGCGTGAATGTTTGGGTGGAGCCAGTGCTGATAGTGTGTTTGTTGCAGGGTGAGTGTTTGGGTGGAGCCAGTGCTGATAGTGTGTTTGTTGCAGGGTGAGTGTTTGGGTGGAGCCAGTGCTGATAGTGTGTTTGTTGCAGGGTGAGTGTTTGGGTGGAGCCAGTGCTGATAGTGTGTTTGTTGCAGGGTGAGTGTTTGGGTGGAGCCAGTGCTGATAATGTGTTTGTTGCAGGATGAGTGTTTGGGTGGAGCCAGTGCTGATAGTGTGTTTGTTGCAGGGTGAATGTTTGGGTGGAGCCAATGCTGTTAGTGTGTTTGTTGCAGGGTGAGTGTTTGGGTGGAGCCAGTGCTGATAGTGTGTTTGTTGCAGGGTGAGTGTTTGGGTGGAGCCAGTGCTGATAGTGTGTTTGTTGCAGGGTGAATGTTTGGGTGGAGCCAGTGCTGATAGTGTGTTTGTTGCAGGGTGAATGTTTGGGTGGAGCCAGTGCTGATAGTGTGTTTTATGCAGCGTGAATGTTTGGGTGGAGCCAGTGCTGATAGTGTGTTTGTTGCAGGGTGAGTGTTTGGGTGGAGCCAGTGCTGATAGTGTGTTTGTTGCATGGTGAGTGTTTGGGTGGAGCCAGTGCTGATAGTGTGTTTGTTGCAGGGTGAGTGTTTGGGTGGAGCCAGTGCTGATAGTGTGTTTAATGCAACGTGAATGTTTGGGTGGAGCCAGTGCTGATAGTGTGTTTGTTGCATGGTGAGTGTTTGGGTGGAGCCAGTGCTGATAGTGTGTTTTATGCAGCGTGAATGTTTGGGTGGAGCCAGTGCTGATAGTGTGTTTGTTGCAGGGTGAGTGTTTGGGTGGAGCCAGTGCTGATGGTGTGTTTGGTGCAGGGTGAGTGTTTGGGTGGAGCCAGTGCTGATAATGTGTTTGTTGCAGGATGAGTGTTTGGGTTGAGCCAGTGCTGATAGTGTGTTTGTTGCAGCGTGAATGTTTGGGTGGAGCCAATGCTGTTAGTGTGTTTGTTGCAGGGTGAGTGTTTGGGTGGAGCCAGTGCTGATAGTGTGTTTGTTGCAGGGTGAATGTTTGGGTGGAGCCAGTGCTGATAGTGTGTTTGTTGCAGGGTGAGTGTTTGGGTGGAGCCAGTGCTGATAGTGTGTTTGTTGCAGGGTGAATGTTTGGGTGGAGCCAGTGCTGATAGTGTGTTTGTTTCAGGGTGAGTGTTTGGGTGGAGCCAGTGCTGATAATGTGTTTGTTGCAGGATGAGTGTTTGGGTGGAGCCAGTGCTGATAGTGTGTTTGTTGCAGGGTGAATGTTTGGGTGGAGCCAGTGCTGATAGTGTGTTTGTTGCAGGGTGAATGTTTGGGTGGAGCCAGTGCTGATAGTGTGTTTGTTGCAGGGTGAATGTTTGGGTGGAGCCAGTGCTGATAGTGTGTTTGTTTCAGGGTGAGTGTTTGGGTGGAGCCAGTGCTGATAGTGTGTTTGTTGCATGGTGAGTGTTTGGGTGGAGCCAGTGCTGATAGTGTGTTTTATGCAGCGTGAATGTTTGGGTGGAGCCAGTGCTGATAGTGTGTTTGTTGCAGGGTGAGTGTTTGGGTGGAGCCAGTGCTGATGGTGTGTTTGGTGCAGGGTGAGTGTTTGGGTGGAGCCAGTGCTGATAATGTGTTTGTTGCAGGATGAGTGTTTGGGTTGAGCCAGTGCTGATAGTGTGTTTGTTGCAGCGTGAATGTTTGGGTGGAGCCAATGCTGTTAGTGTGTTTGTTGCAGGGTGAGTGTTTGGGTGGAGCCAGTGCTGATAGTGTGTTTGTTGCAGGGTGAATGTTTGGGTGGAGCCAGTGCTGATAGTGTGTTTGTTGCAGGGTGAGTGTTTGGGTGGAGCCAGTGCTGATAGTGTGTTTGTTGCAGGGTGAATGTTTGGGTGGAGCCAGTGCTGATAGTGTGTTTGTTTCAGGGTGAGTGTTTGGGTGGAGCCAGTGCTGATAATGTGTTTGTTGCAGGATGAGTGTTTGGGTGGAGCCAGTGCTGATAGTGTGTTTGTTGCAGGGTGAATGTTTGGGTGGAGCCAGTGCTGATAGTGTGTTTGTTGCAGGGTGAATGTTTGGGTGGAGCCAGTGCTGATAGTGTGTTTGTTGCAGGGTGAATGTTTGGGTGGAGCCAGTGCTGATAGTGTGTTTTATGCAGCGTGAATGTTTGGGTGGAGCCAGTGCTGATAGTGTGTTTGTTGCAGGGTGAGTGTTTGGGTGGAGCCAGTGCTGATAGTGTGTTTGTTGCAGGGTGAGTGTTTGGGTGGAGCCAGTGCTGATAGTGTGTTTGTTGCATGGTGAGTGTTTGGGTGGAGCCAGTGCTGATAGTGTGTTTTATGCAGCGTGAATGTTTGGGTGGAGCCAGTGCTGATAGTGTGTTTGTTGCAGGGTGAGTGTTTGGGTGGAGCCAGTGCTGATGGTGTGTTTGTTGCAGGGTGAGTGTTTGGGTGGAGCCAATGCTGATAATGTGTTTGTTGCAGGATGAGTGTTTGGGTGGAGCCAGTGCTGATAGTGTGTTTGTTGCAGGGTGAATGTTTGGGTGGAGCCAATGCTGTTAGTGTGTTTGTTGCAGGGTGAGTGTTTGGGTGGAGCCAATGCTGATAATGTGTTTGTTGCAGGATGAGTGTTTGGGTGGAGCCAGTGCTGATAGTGTGTTTGTTGCAGGGTGAATGTTTGGGTGGAGCCAGTGCTGATAGTGTGTTTGTTGCAGGGTGAATGTTTGGGTGGAGCCAGTGCTGATAGTGTGTTTTATGCAGCGTGAATGTTTGGGTGGAGCCAGTGCTGATAGTGTGTTTGTTGCAGGGTGAGTGTTTGGGTGGAGCCAGTGCTGATAGTGTGTTTGTTGCAGGGTGAATGTTTGGGTGGAGCCAATGCTGTTAGTGTGTTTGTAGCAGGGTGAGTGTTTGGGTGGAGCCAGTGCTGATAATGTGTTTGTTGCAGGATGAGTGTTTGGGTGGAGCCAATGCTGATAGTGTGTTTGTTGCAGGGTGAATGTTTGGGTGGAGCCAGTGCTGATAGTGTGTTTGTTGCAGGGTGAATGTTTGGGTGGAGCCAGTGCTGATAGTGTGTTTTATGCAGCGTGAATGTTTGGGTGGAGCCAGTGCTGATAGTGTGTTTGTTGCAGGGTGAATGTTTGGGTGGAGCCAATGCTGTTAGTGTGTTTGTAGCAGGGTGAGTGTTTGGGTGGAGCCAGTGCTGATAATGTGTTTGTTGCAGGATGAGTGTTTGGGTGGAGCCAATGCTGATAGTGTGTTTGTTGCAGGGTGAATGTTTGGGTGGAGCCAGTGCTGATAGTGTGTTTAATGCAACGTGAATGTTTGGGTGGAGCCAGTGCTGATAGTGTGTTTGTTGCATGGTGAGTGTTTGGGTGGAGCCAGTGCTGATAGTGTGTTTTATGCAGCGTGAATGTTTGGGTGGAGCCAGTGCTGATAGTGTGTTTGTTGCAGGGTGAGTGTTTGGGTGGAGCCAGTGCTGATGGTGTGTTTGGTGCAGGGTGAGTGTTTGGGTGGAGCCAGTGCTGATAATGTGTTTGTTGCAGGATGAGTGTTTGGGTTGAGCCAGTGCTGATAGTGTGTTTGTTGCAGCGTGAATGTTTGGGTGGAGCCAATGCTGTTAGTGTGTTTGTTGCAGGGTGAGTGTTTGGGTGGAGCCAGTGCTGATAGTGTGTTTGTTGCAGGGTGAATGTTTGGGTGGAGCCAGTGCTGATAGTGTGTTTGTTGCAGGGTGAGTGTTTGGGTGGAGCCAGTGCTGATAGTGTGTTTGTTGCAGGGTGAATGTTTGGGTGGAGCCAGTGCTGATAGTGTGTTTGTTTCAGGGTGAGTGTTTGGGTGGAGCCAGTGCTGATAATGTGTTTGTTGCAGGATGAGTGTTTGGGTGGAGCCAGTGCTGATAGTGTGTTTGTTGCAGGGTGAATGTTTGGGTGGAGCCAGTGCTGATAGTGTGTTTGTTGCAGGGTGAATGTTTGGGTGGAGCCAGTGCTGATAGTGTGTTTGTTGCAGGGTGAATGTTTGGGTGGAGCCAGTGCTGATAGTGTGTTTGTTTCAGGGTGAGTGTTTGGGTGGAGCCAGTGCTGATAGTGTGTTTGTTGCATGGTGAGTGTTTGGGTGGAGCCAGTGCTGATAGTGTGTTTTATGCAGCGTGAATGTTTGGGTGGAGCCAGTGCTGATAGTGTGTTTGTTGCAGGGTGAGTGTTTGGGTGGAGCCAGTGCTGATGGTGTGTTTGGTGCAGGGTGAGTGTTTGGGTGGAGCCAGTGCTGATAATGTGTTTGTTGCAGGATGAGTGTTTGGGTTGAGCCAGTGCTGATAGTGTGTTTGTTGCAGCGTGAATGTTTGGGTGGAGCCAATGCTGTTAGTGTGTTTGTTGCAGGGTGAGTGTTTGGGTGGAGCCAGTGCTGATAGTGTGTTTGTTGCAGGGTGAATGTTTGGGTGGAGCCAGTGCTGATAGTGTGTTTGTTGCAGGGTGAGTGTTTGGGTGGAGCCAGTGCTGATAGTGTGTTTGTTGCAGGGTGAATGTTTGGGTGGAGCCAGTGCTGATAGTGTGTTTGTTTCAGGGTGAGTGTTTGGGTGGAGCCAGTGCTGATAATGTGTTTGTTGCAGGATGAGTGTTTGGGTGGAGCCAGTGCTGATAGTGTGTTTGTTGCAGGGTGAATGTTTGGGTGGAGCCAGTGCTGATAGTGTGTTTGTTGCAGGGTGAATGTTTGGGTGGAGCCAGTGCTGATAGTGTGTTTGTTGCAGGGTGAATGTTTGGGTGGAGCCAGTGCTGATAGTGTGTTTTATGCAGCGTGAATGTTTGGGTGGAGCCAGTGCTGATAGTGTGTTTGTTGCAGGGTGAGTGTTTGGGTGGAGCCAGTGCTGATAGTGTGTTTGTTGCAGGGTGAGTGTTTGGGTGGAGCCAGTGCTGATAGTGTGTTTGTTGCATGGTGAGTGTTTGGGTGGAGCCAGTGCTGATAGTGTGTTTTATGCAGCGTGAATGTTTGGGTGGAGCCAGTGCTGATAGTGTGTTTGTTGCAGGGTGAGTGTTTGGGTGGAGCCAGTGCTGATGGTGTGTTTGTTGCAGGGTGAGTGTTTGGGTGGAGCCAATGCTGATAATGTGTTTGTTGCAGGATGAGTGTTTGGGTGGAGCCAGTGCTGATAGTGTGTTTGTTGCAGGGTGAATGTTTGGGTGGAGCCAATGCTGTTAGTGTGTTTGTTGCAGGGTGAGTGTTTGGGTGGAGCCAATGCTGATAATGTGTTTGTTGCAGGATGAGTGTTTGGGTGGAGCCAGTGCTGATAGTGTGTTTGTTGCAGGGTGAATGTTTGGGTGGAGCCAGTGCTGATAGTGTGTTTGTTGCAGGGTGAATGTTTGGGTGGAGCCAGTGCTGATAGTGTGTTTTATGCAGCGTGAATGTTTGGGTGGAGCCAGTGCTGATAGTGTGTTTGTTGCAGGGTGAGTGTTTGGGTGGAGCCAGTGCTGATAGTGTGTTTGTTGCAGGGTGAATGTTTGGGTGGAGCCAATGCTGTTAGTGTGTTTGTAGCAGGGTGAGTGTTTGGGTGGAGCCAGTGCTGATAATGTGTTTGTTGCAGGATGAGTGTTTGGGTGGAGCCAATGCTGATAGTGTGTTTGTTGCAGGGTGAATGTTTGGGTGGAGCCAGTGCTGATAGTGTGTTTGTTGCAGGGTGAATGTTTGGGTGGAGCCAGTGCTGATAGTGTGTTTTATGCAGCGTGAATGTTTGGGTGGAGCCAGTGCTGATAGTGTGTTTGTTGCAGGGTGAATGTTTGGGTGGAGCCAATGCTGTTAGTGTGTTTGTAGCAGGGTGAGTGTTTGGGTGGAGCCAGTGCTGATAATGTGTTTGTTGCAGGATGAGTGTTTGGGTGGAGCCAATGCTGATAGTGTGTTTGTTGCAGGGTGAATGTTTGGGTGGAGCCAGTGCTGATAGTTTGTTTGTTGCAGGGTGAATGTTTGGGTGGAGCCAGTGCTGATAGTGTGTTTTATGCAGCGTGAATGTTTGGGTGGAGCCAGTGCTGATAGTGTGTTTGTTGCAGGGTGAGTGTTTGGGTGGAGCCAGTGCTGATAGTGTGTTTGTTGCATGGTGAATGTTTGGGTGGAGCCAGTGCTGATAGTGTGTTTGTTGCAGGGTGAATGTTTGGGTGGAGCCAGTGCTGATAGTGTGTTTAATGCAACGTGAATGTTTGGGTGGAGCCAGTGCTGATAGTGTGTTTGTTGCATGGTGAATGTTTGGGTGGAGCCAGTGCTGATAGTGTGTTTTATGCAGCGTGAATGTTTGGGTGGAGCCAGTGCTGATAGTGTGTTTGTTGCATGGTGAATGTTTGGGTGGAGCCAGTGCTGATAGTGTGTTTGTTGCATGGTGAGTGTTTGGGTGGAGCCAGTGCTGATGGTGTGTTTGTTGCAGGGTGAGTGTTTGGGTGGAGCCAGTGCTGATAGTGTGTTTTATGCAACGTGAATGTTTGGGTGGAGCCAGTGCTGATAGTGTGTTTGTTGCAGGGTGAATGTTTGGGTGGAGCCAGTGCTGATAGTGTGTTTGTTGCAGGGTGAGTGTTTGGGTGGAGCCAGTGCTGATAGTGTGTTTGTTGCAGGGTGAGTGTTTGGGTGGAGCCAGTGCTGATGGTTTGTTTGTTGCAGGGTGAGTGTTTGGGTGGAGCCAGTGCTGATAGTGTGTTTTATGCAACGTGAATGTTTGGGTGGAGCCAGTGCTGATAGTGTGTTTGTTGCAGGGTGAGTGTTTGGGTGGAGCCAATGCTGTTAGTGTGTGTGTTGCAGGGTGAATGTTTGGGTGGAGCCAGTGCTGATAGTGTGTTTGTTGCATGGTGAGTGTTTGGGTGGAGCCAGTGCTGATAGTGTGTTTGTTGCAGGGTGAGTGTTTGGGTGGAGCCAATGCTGATAGTGTGTTTGTTGCAGGGTGAACACCAAGAAGCTGAGCAGTGTGCAGCCCAAGCTGGAGTCGCTGTGTGCCGCTGAACCTGCACTGAAGGAGATTGCTCAGAGGGTGAGGAGGCCACACAGCCAGCACTGCTGGAGACAATATGGACCTGCTAAAACATCTTTGCTTCATGGTCATCTTGCAATATTAAAGAGAATATTCTGACGACATTGTTTGGGCTGTCGACTCACATGAGAAATATAAGGCTGAAAAAAAAAAGAATTGGTTCTCAGGCAATAGCTTTTGAAAATATCCTGCGGGCGGGTGGCTTTTTTTTTCTTTTTTTTTTTTCGGTGGGTACGATATAGTAAGAATCCGAATCCATATATTGTTGTGTAGGGGGATGGGGGTCGTCTTACTCACAGGGTTGAAGAGTTTGTTTTAATGGGGTTTTTCCCAAACGCAAACACATTAAGTACTGTGAGCATGTAACACCGGAAATTCCATGTCAGCAAATCTGTGCTGAAGTACGAAAATTAATCATGTAGTTACACTGTCTGGTTGTAAAAAGAGTTCATAATATTTCTGGATTTATATTTGTAATCTATTTTATTAATTTTATTCAACATTTCAATTCATTTCGGCGAAATTGTATGTGAAGTGATCAGAAGGTCGCACAATTCACCGTTATTTACTGCAACCACGGTCATATTACCACTATTGACGCCTAGAAACAAACTTTAGTGGATAGAGAATGGATATATATATATCATAAAAACCATACGTTGAAAGTCATTTTTGTTGTAGTTTGACTGTTATATGTCAACATGAAGTTTTCGCAAACGTGGCCATGGGAGCATCGACAGTAGTCGGTCAAATTCTTCAATACGAAAAAATATCCGGAAATAGGGATCATCTGAACCAAAGAGCTACGCTTATGGTTATTAATTTATTTCACATATATATAGTAAAGCTGCAACTTACATGAAATTGGAATAAATTATTCCTGATAAAATAATAGTTTCCGATACAATTCTTCTGCTCATTGTATCAAAATTCTTTAAAGTTATATTATTGGGTAATTTTTGACCGAATCACCAGTAGATTCTGAGAAACGTGTGTACAGCTGATTGCTGCTTAGTTTACGAGACAAGACAAACGGTAATCTTAATCTCTGCATATAAAACTATGCCAATCAGAACAGGAAATACAATTTAATCGGTAAATCATCATGTCTATTGATGTTTTATCTCAAATTTCAAGTTTGTATTGGCCAAGTTTAATTGTTATAATCAGTTCGTTTTCCTGAATTTGCTGAAGGGATACAATGTAATTTTTTTTGGCGCAAGACAAACACGTTTTTATTGCAAATGTAGGGACTTTGTATGCACTTGTGATGTGCTTCATTCCACTTTGCTTTATAGACAGGGTATATATTTTCCACTTTTTTTACGAGACAAATACACATGTAATATTTCTGTATATGAAACATTGTCCCGCATACAGTACACAAATACCATTGAATTTGTAAATCATCATGTCTGGTGATGTTTTATCGCAAATTTTATGTTTTCATTGACCAAATTTGAAAATATCAAAACAAGCACACAAACTCCTATTGCCGCCATGACCGTAACCATGATAACACACGAGATGTGCAGTAAAGCAGTGCGCATGAAAAGGGAAGTAACTGCACGTTATATTAGATCACATTGTTTTTATCCCCCTGACATATAAGGGGGGGGGGGGGATATAGCCATCAGTATGTCCGTCAGTCCGTCCGTCTGTAATCATTGTTTGTCCGGACCATATTTCCTAAACTGTACAACCTAGCTTCCCAAAACTTGGTACACTTACCAATCAGGCTCAGTAGTAGTGCCTTTGGCTATTTAGAGATTTTTAGAATTTTATATTTTTGTCGTTTCCATGGAAATATGATGAACTTTTAGGGTAGTGCTCTTGTCCGGACCAAATCTCCCGAACCATACAACTTAGCTTCTCAAAAGTTTTTACACCTATCAAGCAGGTTATGTAGTGGTGCCTTTGCTATTAACAGATTTTTTCTTTTTTTTTCTCTTTTCAATTTAACTTGATTGATGAACTAAGGGTAATGTCGTCGTCTGGAGCATATCTTCTAAACAATGCGACAGAGATTCACCAAACTTTATGCACATATCAATCATGTTCACTAGTAGTGCAGTTTGTCATTTATAGGTTTTAATCTTTTTAATTTGTAGCCCCGACATGCCACGTCGGGGGGATATGTCATCTTCGGATGACTCTTGTTAAGTATTGTAGCATTTCACTTTTGGGGTCGTTCGTCGAGATGTGGAATATTTAAGGATTTGATTTTTTTGGGTAAATGGAAATAAAAACGAAACATGCAGCAGACTTTGTGATGATGCGTCAGTGCCTGAGAGCCAAAAAAATATATATTTTTTTTTAGCCTAACATGGAACTATCCTTAGTCTATACAGTGATATTGACAGGGAAGGTGTGTGTGACTTGGTTATCAATGGTATTAGCATACTTGTAGACCTGTCTGTGATAGTGCTGTTGCTGGCCGGGGGATAGATGTATGCAACATTACTGTGATTCTGCTGGTGTATGTCACATGACACGTAATGTCACAGCTCACAACATTGTGTACATTTAGTGCAGGCCCTGCTTGAGGAAGCCATAATATGGTTTCCCATAGTTTCCCATAGTTTCTCTTGACTCATCAATGTGATCATGCAGAATCCTTTGTGTGTCAGTTGTGGAGGAGAAACAATCTGTTAGGGATGATTATGCATCCTTGCAAGGTGAATACAACAGGCGTTTGTTGCAGGCGTTCGTTGCCTACCTGCGTGGGGTCTTCCTTATGAGCAACAAGGCTGTGTTTGATGTCAGCAAGTTGGACATTGACAAATTTGCCAGGTAGGAGTTTTCAAGTATTTATGGAAAGACTCTCAATATGCAGTTTGTGCATGGTAAAGGTATTTCTATTTTAGAACACACAGCTGAAACCTAACATTTTATAAGAATAATTAAAAGGTTTCAACATAATAACATACTTCTTGATTCAAAGATGGGATATATATCCCCATTCTCCTATGTGTAGTTTCACATGATTTAAATTATCAATTATCAAAACATTAGTAGCAGGTAAACCGATACAATCATTCACCTGGCAGTCATTTCTTTGAATCTATATCTCACATGACTGCCATGTGTACTTTGTGCTTGTTTGGAACTTTTTTTTGTGAGTTCTGATTGAACAGATGGTTTGGTATTCAGATGTTTGGAACTTTTTATGGTGAGTTCTGATTGAACAGATGGTTTGGTATTCAGATGTTTGGAACTTTTTATGGTGAGTTCTGATTGAACAGATGGTTTGGTATTCAGATGTTTGGAACTATTTACTGTGTGTTCTGAACAAACAGATGGTTTGGTATTCAGATGTTTGGAACTATTTTCCATGAGTTCTGATTGAACAGATGGTTAGGTATTCAGATGTTTGGAACTATTTACTGTGTGTTCTGAACAAACAGATGGTTTGGTATTCAGATGTTTGGGACTATTTACCATATGTTCTGATTGAACAGATGGTTTGGTATTCAGATGTTTGGAACTGTTTACCATGTGTTCTAAATGAACAGATGGTTTGGTATTCAGATGTTTGGAACTATTGACTGTATGTTCTGAATGAACAGATGGTTTAGTATTCAGATGTTTGGGACTATTTACCATGTGTTCTAAATGAACAGATGGTGTGGTATTCAGATGTTTGGAACTGTTTACCATGTGTTCTAAATGAACACATGGTTTAGTATTCAGATGTTTGGAACTATTTACCTTGTGTTCTAAATGAACATATGGTTTGGTATTCAGATGCTTGGGACTATTTACCATGTGTTGTGAATGAACAGGTGGTTTGGTATTCAGATGTTTGGGACTATTTACCATGAGTTCTGAATGAACAGATGTTTGGTATTCACAGGTTTGGAACTATTTACCGTGTGTTCTGAATGAACAGATGGTTTAGTATTCAGATGTTTGGAACTATTTACCTTGTCTCCTGAATGAACAGATGGTTTGGTATTCAGATGTTTGGAACTATTTACCATGTGTTCTGAATCAACAGATGGTTTGGTATTCAGATGTTTGGAACTATTTACCATGTGTTGTGAATGAACAGATGGTTTGGTATTCAGATGTTTGGAACTATTTATCATGAGTTCTGATTGAACAGATGGTTTGGTATTCTGATGTTTGGAACTATTTACCATGTGTTGTGAATGAACAGATGGTTTGGTATTCAGATGTTTGGAACTATTTACCATGTGTTCTGAATGAACAGATGGTTTAGTATTCAGATGTTTGGAACTATTGACTGTATGTTCTGAATGAACAGATGGTTTAGTATTCAGATGTTTGGAACTGTTTACCATGTGTTGTGAATGAACAGATGGTTTGGTATTCAGATGTTTGGAACTATTTACCATGTGTTGTGAATGAACAGATGGTTTGGTATTCAGATGTTTGGAACTATTTACCATGTGTTCTGAATGAACAGATGGTTTAGTATTCAGATGTTTGGAACTATTGACTGTATGTTCTGAATGAACAGATGGTTTAGTATTCAGATGTTTGGAACTATTTACCATGTGTTCTGAATGAACAGATGGTTTGGTATTCTGATGTTTGGAACTATTTACCATGTGTTCTGAATCAACAGATGGTTTGGTATTCAGATGTTTGGGACTATTTACCATATGTTCTGAATCAACAGATGATTTGGTATTCAGATGTTTGGAACTGTTTACCATGTGTTCTAAATGAACAGATGGTTTGGTATTCAGATGTTTGGAACTATTGACTGTATGTTCTGAATGAACAGATGGTTTAGTTTTCAGATGTTTGGAACTATTTACCATGTGTTCTAAATGAACAGATGGTTTGGTATTCAGATGTTTGGAACTTTTTATCATGTGTTCTAAATGAACAGATGGTTTGGTATTCAGATGTTTGGAACTATTGACTGTATCTTCTGAATGAACAGATGGTTTAGTATTCAGATGTTTGGATCTATTTACCATGTGTTCTAAATGAACAGATGGTTTGGTATTCAGATGTTTGGAACTATTTACCATGTGTCCTAAATCAACAGATGGTTTGGTATTCAGATGTTTGGGACTATTTACCATGTGTTCTGAATAAACAGATGGTTTGGTATTCAGATGTTTGGGACTATTTACCATGTGTTCTCAATGAACAGATGGTTTGGTATTCAGATGTTTGGAACTATTTACCATGTGTTCTGAATGAACAGATGGTGTGGTATTCTGATGTTTGGAACTATTTACCATGTGTTCTGAATGAACAGATGGTTTGGTATTCAGATGTTTGGGACTATTTACCATATGTTCTGAATGAACAGATGATTTGGTATTCAGATGTTTGGAACTGTTTACCATGTGTTGTGAATGAACAGATGGTTTGGTATTCAGATGTTTGGAACTATTTACCATGTGTTGTGAATGAACAGATGGTTTAGTATTCAGATGTTTGGAACTATTTACCATGTGTTCTGAATAAACAGATGGTTTGGTTTTCAGATGTTTGGGACTATTTACCATGTGTTCTCAATGAACAGATGGTTTGGTATTCAGATGTTTGGAACTATTTACCATGTGTTCTGAATGAACAGATGGTGTGGTATTCAGATGTTTGGAACTATTTATCAAGAGTTCTGAATGAACAGATGGTTTGGTATTCTGATGTTTTGAACTATTTACCATGTGTTGTGAATCAACAGATGGTTTGGTATTCAGATGTTTGGGACTATTTACCATATGTTCTGAATCAACAGATGATTTGGTATTCAGATGTTTGGAACTGTTTACCATGTGTTGTGAATGAACAGATGGTTTGGTATTCAGATGTTTGGAACTATTTACCATGTGTTCTGAATGAACAGATGGTTTGGTATTCAGATGTTTGGAACTATTGACTGTATGCTCTGAATGAACAGATGGTTTAGTATTCAGATGTTTGGAACTATTTACCATGTGTTCTAAATGAACAGATGGTTTGGTATTCAGATGTTTGGAACTGTTTACCATGTGTTCTAAATGAACACATGGTTTAGTATTCAGATGTTTGGAACTATTTACCTTGTGTTCTAAATGAACATATGGTTTGGTATTCAGATGCTTGGGACTATTTACCATGTGTTGTGAATGAACAGATGGTTTGGTATTCAGATGTTTGGGACTATTTACCATGAGTTCTGAATGAACAGATGTTTGGTATTCACAGGTTTGGAACTATTTACCGTGTGTTCTGAATGAACAGATGGTTTAGTATTCAGATGTTTGGAACTATTTACCTTGTCTCCTGAATGAACAGATGGTTTGGTATTCAGATGTTTGGAACTATTTACCATGTGTTGTGAATGAACAGATGGTTTGGTATTCATAAGTTTGGAACTATTTACCATGTGTTGTTAATGAACAGATGGTTTGGTATTCAGATGTTTGGGACTATTTACCATGTGTTCTGAATGAACAGATGGTTTGGTATTCAGATGTTTGGAACTATTTACCATGTGTCCTGAATGAACAGATGGTTTGGTATTCTGATGTTTGGAACTATTTACCATGTGTCCTGAATCAACAGATGGTTTGGTATTCAGATGTTTGGAACTATTGACTGTATGTTCTGAATGAACAGATGGTTTAGTATTCAGATGTTTGGAACTATTTACCATGTGTTCTAAATGAACAGATGGTTTGGTATTCAGATGTTTGGAACTATTTATCATGTGTTCTAAATGAACAGATGGTTTAGTATTCAGATGTTTGGAACTATTGACTGTATGTTCTGAATGAACAGATGGTTTAGTATTCAGATGTTTGGAACTGTTTACCATGTGTTCTAATTGAACAGATGGTTTGGTATTCAGATGTTTGGAACTATTTACCATGTGTTCTGAATGAACAGATGGTTTGGTATTCAGATGTTTGGAACTATTTACCATGTGTTCTGAATGAACAGATGGTGTGGTATTCAGATGTTTGGAACTATTTATCGTGAGTTCTGATTGAACAGATGGTTTGGTATTCTGATGTTTGGAACTATTTACCATGTGTTGTGAATGAACAGATGGTTTGTTATTCAGATGTTTGGAACTATTTACCATGTGTTCTGAATGAACAGATGGTTTGGTATTCAGATGTTTGGAACTATTGACTGTATCTTCTGAATGAACAGATGGTTTAGTATTCAGATGTTTGGAACTATTTACCATGTGTTCTGAATGAACAGATGGTTTGGTATTCTGATGTTTGGAACTATTTACCATGTTTTCTGAATCAACAGATGGTTTGGTATTCAGATGTTTGGGACTATTTACCATATGTTCTGAATCAACAGATGATTTGGTATTCAGATGTTTGGAACTGTTTACCATGTGTTCTAAATGAACAGATGGTTTGGTATTCAGATGTTTGGAACTATTGACTGTATGTTCTGAATGAACAGATGGTTTAGTATTCAGATGTTTGGAACTATTTACCATGTGTTCTAAATGAACAGATGGTTTGGTATTCAGATGTTTGGAACTGTTTATCATGTGTTCTAAATGAACAGATGGTTTGGTATTCAGATGTTTGGAACTATTGACTGTATCTTCTGAATCAACAGATGGTTTAGTATTCAGATGTTTGGATCTATTTACCATGTGTTCTAAATGAACAGATGGTTTGGTATTCAGATGTTTGGAACTATTTACCATGTGTCCTGAATCAACAGATGGTTTTTGTATTCATAAGTTTGGAACTATTTACCATGTGTTGTGAATGAACAGATGGTTTGGTATTCAGATGTTTGCGACTATTTACCATGTGTTCGGAATGAACAGATGGTTTGGTATTCAGATGTTTGGGACTAATTACCATGTGTTCTGAATAAACAGATGGTTTGGTTTTCAGATGTTTGGGACTATTTACCATGTGTTCTGAATCAACAGATGGTTTAGTATTCAGATGTTTGGAACTATTTACCTTGTGTTCTAAATGAACATATGGTTTGGTATTCAGATGCTTGGGACTATTTACCATGTGTTGTGAATGAACAGGTGGTTTGGTATTCAGATGTTTGGGACTATTTACCATGAGTTCTGAATGAACAGATGTTTGGTATTCACAGGTTTGGAACTATTTACCGTGTGTTCTGAATGAACAGATGGTTTAGTATTCAGATGTTTGGAACTATTTACCTTGTCTCCTGAATGAACAGATGGTTTGGTATTCAGATGTTTGGAACTATTTACCATGTGTTGTGAATGAACAGATGGTTTGGTATTCATAAGTTTGGAACTATTTACCATGTGTTGTTAATGAACAGATGGTTTGGTATTCAGATGTTTGGGACTATTTACCATGTGTTCTGAATGAACAGATGGTTTGGTATTCAGATGTTTGGAACTATTTACCATGTGTCCTGAATGAACAGATGGTTTGGTATTCTGATGTTTGGAACTATTTACCATGTGTCCTGAATCAACAGATGGTTTGGTATTCAGATGTTTGGAACTATTGACTGTATGTTCTGAATGAACAGATGGTTTAGTATTCAGATGTTTGGAACTGTTTACCATGTGTTCTAATTGAACAGATGGTTTGGTATTCAGATGTTTGGAACTATTTACCATGTGTTCTGAATGAACAGATGGTTTGGTATTCAGATGTTTGGAACTATTTACCATGTGTTCTGAATGAACAGATGGTGTGGTATTCAGATGTTTGGAACTATTTATCGTGAGTTCTGATTGAACAGATGGTTTGGTATTCTGATGTTTGGAACTATTTACCATGTGTTGTGAATGAACAGATGGTTTGTTATTCAGATGTTTGGAACTATTTACCATGTGTTCTGAATGAACAGATGGTTTGGTATTCAGATGTTTGGAACTATTGACTGTATGTTCTGAATGAACAGATGGTTTAGTATTCAGATGTTTGGAACTATTTACCATGTGTTCTAAATGAACAGATGGTTTGGTATTCAGATGTTTGGAACTGTTTATCATGTGTTCTAAATGAACAGATGGTTTGGTATTCAGATGTTTGGAACTATTGACTGTATCTTCTGAATCAACAGATGGTTTAGTATTCAGATGTTTGGATCTATTTACCATGTGTTCTAAATGAACAGATGGTTTGGTATTCAGATGTTTGGAACTATTTACCATGTGTCCTGAATCAACAGATGGTTTTTGTATTCATAAGTTTGGAACTATTTACCATGTGTTGTGAATGAACAGATGGTTTGGTATTCAGATGTTTGCGACTATTTACCATGTGTTCGGAATGAACAGATGGTTTGGTATTCAGATGTTTGGGACTATTTACCATGTGTTCTGAATAAACAGATGGTTTGGTTTTCAGATGTTTGGGACTATTTACCATGTGTTCTGAATCAACAGATGGTTTGGTATTCAGATGTTTGGAACTATTTACCATGTGTTCTGAATGAACAGATGGTGTGGTATTCAGATGTTTGGAACTATTTATCGTGAGTTCTGATTGAACAGATGGTTTGGTATTCTGATGTTTGGAACTATTTACCATGTGTTCTGAATGAACAGATGGTTTGGTATTCAGATGTTTGGAACTATTTACCATGTGTTCTGAATGAACAGATGGTGTGGTATTCAGATGTTTGGAACTATTTATCATGAGTTCTGATTGAACAGATGGTTTAGTATTCAGATGTTTGGAACTATTTACCATGTGTTGTGAATGAACAGATGGTTTGGTATTCAGATGTTTGGAACTATTTACCATGTGTTCTAAATGAACAGATGGTTTAGTATTCAGATGTTTGGAACTATTGACTGTATGTTCTGAATGAACAGATGATTTAGTATTCAGATGTTTGGAACTATTTACCATGTGTTCTGAATGAACAGATGGTTTGGTATTCAGATGTTTGGAACTATTTACTGTGTTTTCTGAATAAACAGATGGTTTGGTATTCAGATGTTTGGAACTATTTACCGTGTGTTCTGAATGAACAGATGGTTTGGTATTCATACAGAACCATATCTCACCATAGTAAGCACACATTCCCTTTTCCACACCTTTTCAGGTGTGACATTGAACACACATAACTTACACCTGATGTGTGATATGGTATCTCTGGTTGACAGACCCCAATGGAGTATTCTCTAAAGGCTTTTTGTGAGTAAGTGATATGTGGGAGTTACAGCAAACATTCCTTTGCTTCAGATCGCTGGGCTTGGCTGTTGTGCCGCGAGTGAGATTCTTGCAGCGAGATCAGAAGCGGCGCCAGGAACGACTTCAAGACAAGCATCAGGAAAAGCAGAAGACAAGTACCAAGGTGTTGATGAGGGCCACACATGCCGCCACTGGGACATCAGGGAGGGAGGGTCGTCCTGAGGGCTCCTCCAGCGCTTCATCGGGGGATGAGGATGAGGGCAATCTGCAGCAGATAATTCAAAGAAAGTTTAATGAGTCGTCTACTAGCATGCAGGGAAATCAACACGTTTTGAAATCTTTGATAAGTAATAGGACTTCTGATACATCAGAAAGTGAGGATGGTGAAACAGACAAAGATGAAAGTGAAGACAGTGATGTTGAGTCTCATTCTGATGATGATTCAGAGGAAGAAAGTGAAGACAGTGATGTAGAGTCTCATTCAGATAAAGAGGCAGAAAGGACTAACATGAATGCTAAAGTCAAGTCTCGGAAGACTGATCGTAGTGTACCTTTTAGATTTGATGTGGATGACGACGATGATCTGTTTAGAGTTAAACGCACAATACATGTGGAGGATGAAGACAGTGAGGATGAGGTACGGCAAAAAGTGCAGTTTGGTTTTATGTGGGTTCGGATGCTTTACAATATCAACATTGCTTATATTTCTTTGTTCGCCAGTAGTGGTCAGATATACTGTAGACCTGTGATGGTCACTGCACGGGGAGGCTGTGAGGGGTGAAGTCACTGTAGTTATGTCGCCAGTAGTGGTCAGATATACTGTAGACCTTTGATGGCACAGACAGGGGGAGACTGTGAGGGGGGGAGGCTGTGAGGGGTGAAGTCACTGTAGTTATGTTGCCAGTAGTCGTCAGATATACTGTAGACCTGTGATGGTCACTGCAGGGGGAGACTGAGGAGTGATGTCACTGTACTTATGTCGCCAGTAGTGGTCAGATATACTGTAGACCTGTGATGGTCACTGCAGGGGGAGACTGTGAGGAGTGATGTCACTGTAGTTATGTTGCCAGTAGTGGTCAGATATACTGTAGACCTGTGACGGTCACTGCAGGGGGAGACTGTGAGGGGTGAAGTCACTGTAGTTATGTTGCCAGTAGTGGTCAGATATACTGTAGACCTGTGATGGTCACTGCAGGGGGAGACTGTGAGGGGTGATGTCACTGTAGTTATGTTGCCACTAGTGGTCAGATATACTGTAGACCTGTGATGGTCACTGCAGGGGGAGACTGTGAGGGGTGAAGTCACTGTAGTTATGTTGCCAGTAGTGGTCAGATATACTGTAGACCTGTGATGGTCACTGCAGAGGGAGACTGTGAGGGGTGATGTCACTGTAGTTATGTTGCCAGTAGTGGTCAGATATACTGTAGACCTGTGATGGTCACTGCAGGGGGAGACTGTGAGGAGTGATGTCACTGTAGTTATGTTGCCAGTAGTGGTCAGATATACTGTAGACCTGTGATGGTCACTGCAGGGGGAGACTGTGAGGAGTGATGTCACTGTAGTTATGTTGCCAGTAGTGGTCAGATATACTGTAGGCCTGTGATGGTCACTGCAGGGGGAGACTGTGAGGAGTGATGTCACTGTAGTTATGTTGCCAGTAGTGGTCAGATATACTGTAGACCTGTGATGGTCACTGCAGGGGGAGACTGTGAGGAGTGATGTCACTGTAGTTATGTCGCCAGTAGTGGTCAGATATACTGTAGACCTGTGATGGTCACTGCAGGGGGAGACTGTGAGGAGTGATGTCACTGTAGTTATGTTGCCAGTAGTGGTCAGATATACTGTAGACCTGTGACGGTCACTGCAGGGGGAGACTGTGAGGGGTGAAGTCACTGTAGTTATGTTGCCAGTAGTGGTCAGATATACTGTAGACCTGTGATGGTCACTGCAGGGGGAGACTGTGAGGGGTGATGTCACTGTAGTTATGTTGCCAGTAGTGGTCAGATATACTGTAGACCTGTGATGGTCACTGCAGGGGGAGACTGTGAGGAGTGATGTCACTGTAGTTATGTTGCCAGTAGTGGTCAGATATACTGTAGACCTGTGATGGTCACTGCAGGGGGAGACTGTGAGGAGTGATGTCACTGTAGTTATGTTGCCAGTAGTGGTCAGATATACTGTAGGCCTGTGATGGTCACTGCAGAGGGAGACTGTGAGGGGTGATGTCACTGTAGTTATGTTGCCAGTAGTGGTCAGATATACTGTAGACCTGTGATGGTCACTGCAGAGGGAGACTGTGAGGGGTGATGTCACTGTAGTTATGTTGCCAGTAGTGGTCAGATATACTGTAGACCTGTGATGGTCACTGCAGGGGGAGACTGTGAGGAGTGATGTCACTGTAGTTATGTTGCCAGTAGTGGTCAGATATACTGTAGACCTGTGATGGTCACTGCAGGGGGAGACTGTGAGGAGTGATGTCACTGTAGTTATGTTGCCAGTAGTGGTCAGATATACTGTAGGCCTGTGATGGTCACTGCAGGGGGAGACTGTGAGGAGTGATGTCACTGTAGTTATGTTGCCAGTAGTGGTCAGATATACTGTAGACCTGTGATGGTCACTGCAGGGGGAGACTGTGAGGAGTGATGTCACTGTAGTTATGTCGCCAGTAGTGGTCAGATATACTGTAGACCTGTGATGGTCACTGCAGGGGGAGACTGTGAGGAGTGATGTCACTGTAGTTATGTTGCCAGTAGTGGTCAGATATACTGTAGACCTGTGACGGTCACTGCAGGGGGAGACTGTGAGGGGTGAAGTCACTGTAGTTATGTTGCCAGTAGTGGTCAGATATACTGTAGACCTGTGATGGTCACTGCAGGGGGAGACTGTGAGGGGTGATGTCACTGTAGTTATGTTGCCAGTAGTGGTCAGATATACTGTAGACCTGTGATGGTCACTGCAGGGGGAGACTGTGAGGAGTGATGTCACTGTAGTTATGTTGCCAGTAGTGGTCAGATATACTGTAGACCTGTGATGGTCACTGCAGGGGGAGACTGTGAGGAGTGATGTCACTGTAGTTATGTTGCCAGTAGTGGTCAGATATACTGTAGGCCTGTGATGGTCACTGCAGGGGGAGACTGTGAGGAGTGATGTCACTGTAGTTATGTTGCCAGTAGTGGTCAGATATACTGTAGACCTGTGATGGTCACTGCAGGGGGAGACTGTGAGGAGTGATGTCACTGTAGTTATGTCGCCAGTAGTGGTCAGATATACTGTAGACCTGTGATGGTCACTGCAGGGGGAGACTGTGAGGAGTGATGTCACTGTAGTTATGTTGCCAGTAGTGGTCAGATATACTGTAGACCTGTGATGGTCACTGCAGGGGGAGAATGTGAGGAGTGATGTCACTGTAGTTATGTTGCCAGTAGTGGTCAGATATACTGTAGACCTGTGATGGTCACTGCAAGGGGTTGATGCATGTAGTGGCAGTGATGGATAGGCAGTGATGGAGAGGCAGTGATGGAGACTGTTGGGGTGGAGTCACTGGGTATCCTGTATCACCAGTAGTGATCAGATATTTTTTTCGGCAGATGGTGACGAGGAAGAAAGAAAGCCTTGCCAAGAAGAAACCCACAACGAAAGCAAAAGCTGTAAAGAAACTGCTTAAGAAAAACATCCAACTTAATACCAAGGTCAAGTTTGATGAAGCAGGGGAGGTAATCAAACTTTTGTTGTTAAATGACATTGTTTCAGCTACAGAATATTATAACTTTCTGTTTAATTTAGTTGCATTTAGAGACACAAAGACTTGACCATGAGAGCATAACTTCAGAGTATACAAATCATGTGACTTTGACACTCAGAATTCACTTGCGATTTGTAACGGTGAATACATATTTGCAATCTTTAAAGGTGCATTCTACTTAAACATATATGTATTTTCTATTCATGGAAGAAAGAGTTCAACTATTGTGTGAGTGTTTAGGTTCTGATGCGAATTGCTGAAATTAGGCTATGTTTTACCTTACCTGATGCTACACAGTGCTTTAGCTTCCCTACCTTATGCAATCAGACAGTACTGGAACGAAGAGACAGTTGAAACATTCTACAGCCCGTGCCTAGGCATCCACAAGTTATCCCCCTTGGCCACTACTCCCACATAGTCTTCACTGTATGACAGCAGGCGTGGACAGTGGCGCCAAACGGTAAGGTGGGGGAGGCGGACACAGTCCAGGTGGGCCTAGTAAGTGTAGCATCAGTATAAAGACATTGCATTTAATCAGAAATGCTCATGTTTTACCATACCTGACACTACACTATAAGTTGTAGCAGGATCACGAGGGGTACATGGGGTTTTATGCGTCGCGTGTTAGGTTTTATACCACGAGCCGGAGGCATAACCCGCCTGCCTTACAGACAGACATATTATTGGAACTGAGTTCTACTTACCTTGTATTGTCATCAATCTTTGACTTCAGGTGGTGTTACCTCCATGTATCCTTTCCCTGCTTGATGTATCCTCTTGTTTGTGGTTTATAGGTTGGTATTTCGTTTTTGTTCATTGTTCATCGTAACTTAGCACATTTCACACCTTGGTCACCATTTTAACTTATCAGTACTCTCACGTTGATGAAGTTGCGTGTAAATGTTGTTTTTCCAAAAGTTTTCTTAAGCTATTGGTAAATCTCTCATCTCTTGGTATAATTCCTATTAATTAGGGATATTATGCTTTTGGTTTGCTAGCAGTCGCTCTTCACTCTCTGGTTGTGTTTGAGTGTTTGGTTCCCCTGTTCTTCTTGTAACAGACCGCCTCCGTGGTCTAGTGGTAGAGCGTCCGCTGGAGAGAGGAAGGTCCGGGGTTCGATCCCCGACCGCGTCATACCAAAAGACGTTAAAAGATGGTACTTGTTGTTACCCTGTCTGGCTTTCGGTGTTAAGGGGTAAAACAAGGACTGGTCGGCTCGGAGTCCGTATACTGTGTCTGAGTGGGGTATTCATGTTAAACTGCGGCATGGTATCTCAGTGAGCTAGCACTATAAATCGACATCAGTCCAGACTAGTATAAGCAGCCACACAAACACACACACGTACATGCACGTCGCTATATAGGTGCAATAATCTTGGACGCGACGTTAAACCCCATTTCACCTCACCTCTTCTTGTGACATGTTTTACTTCATATGTAATTCTGGTCCTTTCACTTATGCGCTGTTACATTTCTATGCAGAATATTTGTTTGTTTTGTTTATTTGTTGTTTAATGCCACACTCAGCAATATCCCTCTATATGACGGTGATCTGTAAATAATCGAGTCTGGACCAGACAATCCAGTTGTTGACATCATGATCATCTATCCACGCAATTGGGATACGATGACGTGCATCAACCAAGTCAGCAAGCCTGACCAACCAATCCTGTTAGTCACCTCTTATGACAAGCACAGTCACTTTTTACGGCAAGCATGGGTTCCTGAAGACCTATTCTACTCTGGATTCACAGAATGTATTCTATGCGTAGTACTTTATGTAAACGTCACAAGTCTTTTTCGGCCCTAGAAACAGCTTGCTAAAAGGAAGAAGATGCTGGTCCTTCTCCGTCGTTACCGACCTCTCCTCCTCCGTAGGATCCAGCCCCTCCGCCTTCAGATCCGACTACGCCGACGACGGTTGTTCAGGGCCTCGTTCCCACCTCCCATCACTTGGTGTTTTAATCCTACTGCCATTCATGTGTTTGGGGAGCAACTTCTTCAACATCGTCCAGACGACCTGCTCTTACCACCCAGACGCTCGCCAGTCCCCAGATCATCGTTCCCAGGCCTCTTCGGATGCTTCATCCCGCTGGTCTACTGGTTCCCGTCGCGTTCCCCTACTCCTGATGACAACCCAGATGCTTTTGGCAAGTTCCGTTGCCAGCTGTCGCGAGAAAAAGTCACCAAGTGTCGCTATGTTTTGCTGGACCGTCGCCAGCATGGCATCAGACCGTCAGCTGCTCCTTCACCTCATACTGATATCCGCCAACCTTCACCTACTCAGCATTACCGCTCCTTTCTACGGACTTTGCCAACATCTCGCCTCCCATTGATGAAGATGTTTGGATGCTCGTCGGCATTTCTAAACCAAGTACATCGATTCCCACGACAGTTTCGCAATTTGGTCTGATGGATGCATCTCTTCATCACTCCCTTTATCCACTGTCGGCGGTGGCTTCTGCCAACTCGGCCATACAAGACTGTTTGGGCAAGCATCTCTCTGAGGCTAAGGATCAGCTCTTTTCGGCGTTAGACTAGCAACAGCAACAGCTTTTACACATGTCTAATGCTCCAATACTGCCTTGCATCCATCACCATCGCTAAACACTCGGCCTTAATCAAACAGTCTTCCTGGGACCCATCCTTCAAGATCGAATTGATGCGCCAATGAGCAACCACCAATTGCCAGTGTACGTGTCTTCAGTCCCGGGCCCAGCTGCTTTGGAGGTTGATGGCCTTGCTCTGTCGTGGGTCAGCCTTAGCGCATACACTTCTTCTCCGCCAGGTCCTTCACAAAGCGGCCGAGACCTGTCTTCTGGAGTTGGACGTGCCTTACTGGCCGACAAGTCCGGATTAGTGTGTTTTTTCACCCTCTTTCGTGCCGGATGCGGATGCCTTGCATTTACCCAAATATTCTCTCTGCCTCCAGACCACCATTCTGTTCTGAATTGCCTTGACCTGCTTCCTATTCCCTTACCTGCCTTACTGGGAACCGCTATCTTGCAGTCGCCTGAAGGGTTCCTTGTTGAATGGTTTTGTTGTACTTCTTCAGTGTACTTCAGTGTGCCGCTCCTCACGGTAAGCCCACCTTCCATGGTAATCCCACAAATAAAGCGTCTGGTAAGGTAAAACATGAGCATTTCTGATTAAATGCAATGTTTTTATACTTACCTGACGCTACACCTGACTGCGTCCACCTCCTCCACCTTACCGTTTGGTGCCACTGTCTATGCCTGCTGTCATACAGTGAAGAATATGAGGGAGTAGGGCCAAGGGGAATAACTCATGGATAGCCAAGGGGAATAAGTCATGGATACCGAGGCACGGATTGTAGTCTGTTTCAACTATCTCTTTGTGTGTCAGGTAAGTATAAAAACATTGCATTTAATCAGAAATGCTCCTTTATGCTGGGTCTTGAATCTCCCCATGCACGATAAAACCCACATATATTTAATTAACATGATATCCATTTCACAAAGCTGATTGTAATGTTTTTCAAATCCATGTTAGAGAAAAAGGTTATACTTATGATGAAAGATTTTCATGTGCTGTGAATATGATGAGATTTCTTAGCTTCGTTCTTCATTTCATCAGATTTTTCAGAATGCATCACACACTCCCATTAATTTTACAATTCCCTGTGGTTCTTTTTTATTGAAATACCAGTGTCACTGATAGGCAGGACAGTGAATTGTTCAGGGAGACCATTTTGGCTGCCATCATGATATTTGGACCTATTCCAGGTCAGAGGTATTGTATTTTGAATGCTGAAGGACTTTTCATTGTAGGAAGTTTCTGACATCTACAAGAAGCCACAAGTGAAAAAGATATTTGAAGATGATGATGACTTGGGGGGAATCAACATTGCTGCTGCTAGACAGAGATTACAGGAAGAAGACAAGTTTGATAAACAGTTACACCGAGAAAAAGTCAAACAGAAACACAGGGTAGGTCAAACAGTTACACAGAGACAGAGACAGTCAAACAGAAACAGGATGGGTTGGTATCAGTTACACTGAGAGGTCAAGCAAAACACAGGGTGGGTTGGTATCAGTTACACTGAGAGGTCAAACAAAACCACAGGGTCGGTTGGTAACAGTTACACTGAGAGGTCAAACAAAAACAGGGTGTGTTGGTATCAGTTACACTGAGAGGTCAAACAAAACCACAGGGTGGGTTGGTAACAGTTACACTGAGAGGTCAAACAAAACCACAGGGTGGGTTGGTAACAGTTACACTGAGAGGTAAAACAAAACCACAGGGTGGGTTGGTAACAGTTACACTGAGAAGTCAAACAAAACCACAGGGTGGGTTGGTTTCAGTTACACTGAGAGGTCAAACAGAAACAGGGTGGGTTGGTATCAGTTACACTGAGAGGTCAAACAAAAACACAGGGTGGGTTGGTAACAGTTACACTGAGAGGTCAAACAAAACCACAGGATGGGTTGGTAACAGTTACACTGAGAGGTAAAACAAAACCACAGGGTGGGTTGGTAACAGTTACACTGAGAGGTCAAACAAAACCACAGGGTGGGTTGGTTTCAGTTACACTGAGAGGTCAAACAGAAACAGGGTGGGTTGGTATCAGTTACACTGAGAGGTCAAACAGAAACAGGGTGGGTTGGTATCAGTTACACTGAGAGATCAAACAGAAACAGGGTGGGTTGGTATCAGTTACACTGAGAGGTCAAACAAAAACACAGGGTGGGTTGGTATCAGTTACACTGAGAGGTCAATAGTTACAGTGAGATAAAAGTGGAAACACAGGATGGGCAGGTAAGGTTGAAAAATAAAAAAATTGGTTCTCAGGCAATAGCTTTTGAAAATATCGTGCGGGAGGACGGCCCTTTTTTTCTTTTTTGTTGTTGTGTACACACTAGTAAGAATCCAAATCCGTATATCGCTGTGTATAAGGCGAGTTTTTCTTAACTAGAATTAGGAGGCTTTCAAGGTATGTGTAACACATAGACATTACTGTGGGCACGGAACACCAGAAATACCATGTCAACAAATCCGTACTGAAATACTCAAATTAATCATGTAATTACACTGTCTGGTTGTAGTAAGAGTTCATAATATATCTGGACTTATGTTGGTAATCTATTTAATAATTTTATTCAACATTTCATTCCATATTGTTTCAATTCATTTCGGCAAAATCTAATGTGAAGTGATCGGAAGATCGCACAACTCACCGTTATTTACAGCAACCACGGTCATATTACCGCTATTGACGCCTTGAAACGAACTTTAGTGGATAGAGAATGGGTATATCTCGTATATCATAAATGCCATACATTGAATCGCTGAAAGTCATACTTGTTGTAGTTTGACTATTATATATATGTCAACATTAAGTTTTTGCAATCGCAGGCGCATGGACGGTGGTTGGTCAAATTCTTCCATTCAAAAACATTTCCAGCAATGGCGATCAGCTGAACCAACATTTAAGGATTTTTTTTTTTTTGAAAATGGAAATAAAAACGAAACGTGAGGCAGACTTTATGATGATGCGGCAGTGCCTGAGAACCAAGAATATATTTTTTTTTAAGCCTAACCTTTACTTTCGAGAGGCCCAGTTGAAACCAGGTGGGGAGGTATTGAAGTTGAAACACAGGGTCAAGCAGAAACGTGGGATTGGGACATTAACATGGAGAGACCAAAGTGAAACAGTGTGGGTAATTGACAATGGCTAGAAAGTGACCAAGCAGCTGTGGGACAAGGTGAGGGACTTGTTCCCCGTTACCTTTCTGAAATTTGAAATCCACCAACAAGTGTCTCTCTTTGTCATAATGTATAGCACCAATTCTGTCTACTGTTTCTATGCTGTTTCATTGATAATCTCTCAAATGACAGGAGGAAAGATTCAAGAAGAAAGATGAGAGACGGAAGAAGCAGCAGGCTGCTGAGGAGCACAGTGTGAGTAGATCAGAGTAGACCAGCTGGATGTACCCACAGTGTAAGTAGGTCAGCTGGATGTACCCTCAGTGTAAGTAGGTCAGCTGGATGTACCCTCAGTGTAAGTAGGTCAGCTGGATGTACCCTCAGTGTAAGTAGGTCAGCTGGATGTACGCACAGTGTAAGTAGGTCAGCTGGATGTACCCACAGTGTAAGTAGGTCAGCTGGATGTACCCACAGTGTAAGTAGGTCAGCTGGATGTACCCTCAGTGTAAGTAGGTCAGCTGGATGTACGCACGGTGTAAGTAGGTCAGCTGGATGTACCCACAGTGTAAGTAGGTCAGCTGGATGTACCCACAGTGTAAGTAGGTCGGCAACATATACCCATGGTGTAAGTAGGTCAGCTACTTGTACCCATTTTTGTAAGTAGGTCAGCTGGATGTACGCACGGTGTAAGTAGGTCAGCAACATGTACCCACAGTGTAAGGAGGTCAGCTGGATGTACCCACAGTGAAAGTAGATCAGCTACATATACCCATGGTGTAATAGGTCAGCTACATGTACCCACTTTGTAAGTAGGTCAGCTAGATGTACCCACAGTGAAAGTAGGTCACCTACATGTACACACGGTGAAAGTAGGTCACTATATGTACCCACTGTAAGTAGGTCAGCTGGATGTACCCACTGTGAAAGTAAGTCAGCTGGATGTACCCACAGTAAAAGTAGGTCAGCTACATGTGCCCACAGTGAAAGTAGGTCAGCTACATGTACCCACTGTGTAAGTAGGTCAGCTACATGAACCGATGGTGTAAGTAGTTCAGCTGGAAGTACCCACTTTGTATCCCACATTGTAAGTTGGTCAGCTCCATAGACCCATGGTGTAAGTAGGTCAGCTGGATGTACCCATGGTGTAAGTAGGTCAGCTGGATGTACCCATGGTGTAAGTAGGTCAGCTGGATGTACCCATGGTGTAAGTAGGTCAGCTGGATGTACCCATGGTGTAAGTAGGTCAGCTGGATGTACCCACTGTGTAAGTAGGTCAGCTACATGTACCCAATGTTTAAGTAGGTCAGCTACATATATCCATAGTGTAAGTAGGTCAGCTCCATGTACCCACTGTGTAAGTAGGTCAGCTACATGTACCCACGGTGTAACTTGGTCAGCTCCATATACCCACTGTGTAAGTAGGTCAGCTACATGTACCCATGGTGTAAGTAGGTCAGCTGGATGTACCCACTTTGTAAGTAGGTCAGCTCCATGTACCCATGGTGTAAGTAGGTCAGCTCCATGTACCCAATGTTTAAGTAGGTCAGCTACATATATCCATAGTGTAAGTAGGTCAGCTCCATGTACCCAATGTTTAAGTAGGTCAGCTACATATATCCATAGTGTAAGTAGGTCAGCTGGATGTACGTACTGTGTGAGTAGGTCAGCTACATGTACCCACTGTGTAAGTAGGTCAGCTACATGTACCCACTGTTTAAGTAGGTCAGCTACATATACCCATGGTGTAAGTAGGTCAGCTGGATGTACCCAGTGTAAGTAGGTCAGCTGGATGTGCCCACTATATAGGTAGGTCAGCTACATGTATCTAAGGTGTAAGTAGGTCAGCTGGATGTACCCATTTTGTAAGTAGGTCAGCTACATGTATCTAAGGTGTAAGTAGGTCAGCTGGATGTACCCATTTTGTAAGTAGGTCAGCTACATGTATCTTAGGTGTAAGTAGGTCAGCTGGATGTACCCATTTTATAAGTAGGTCAGCTACATATACCTATGGTGTAAGTAGGTCAGCCAGTTGTACCCAAGGTGTAAGTAGGTCAGCTGCATGTACCCACAGTGTAAGTAGGTCAGCTACATATACCCATGGTGTAAGTAGGTCAGCTACTTGTACTCACATTGAAAGTAGGTCAGCTACATATACCCACAGTGTAAGTATGTCCTCTGTATGTCCTCTTTGTGTGTCATGATGCATGCTTTTGAATAGGGGTACTGTCACTCCCTTTTCCTTTCCCTACTCTTGAGACACTTGCTTTGTTTGCAGGATAATGATGCAATGTTGAACACTGAAGCAGGTGCATCTGCCATTGACTTGATTCCTGACCCAGAAAAGATTTATGGAACTGGAGGCTCTTTTGATGATGATGATGATGATACTAGAGACTCTTATGATGATGATGATGATGATGATAGGTCTGTAACTTCTTTTGTGAGAAACCTGATTCAATGTTTATTGTTATAAATATTTGTCAATATATACAGCTTCCCAACACTTACTGGAGACACACACACACACCATGTATACAGCCTCCTTACTGGAGACACACACAGAGCATATAAACTGCCCCCTTACTGGAGACACACACACACACATACACACACCATGTATACAGACCCCTTCCTGGAGACACACACACCATGTATACAGACCCCTTCCTGGAGAGACACACACACCATGTATACAGACCCCTTCCTGGAGACACACACACACCATGTATACAGCCCTCTTCCTGGAGACACACACACACCATGTATACAGACCCCTTCCTGGAGACACACACACACAGCATATAAACAGCCCCCCTACTGGAGACACACACACCATGTATACAGCCCCCTCCCGGAGACACACACACACCATGTATACAGACCCCTTCCTGGAGACACACACACCATGTATACAGACCCCTTCCTGGAGACATACACACCATGTATACAGACCCCTTCCTGGAGACACACACACCATGTATACAGACCCCTTCCTGGAGACACACAAACCATGTATACAGACCCCTTCCTGGAGACACATACACCATGTATACAGACCCCTTCCTGGAGACACACAAACCATGTATACAGCCCCCTTACAGGAGACACACACACACACCATGTACACAGACCCCTTCCTGCAGACACACACAAACCATGTATACAGCCCCCTTCCTGAAGACACACACACACCATGTATACAGCCCCCTTCCTGAAGACACACACACATCATGTATACAGCCCCCTTCCTGAAGACACACACACACCATGTATACAGACCCCTTCCTGAAGACACACACACACCATGTATACAGCCCCCTTACAGGAGACACACACACACACCATGTATACAGACCCCTTCCTGGAGACACACACACACCATGTATACAGCCCCCTTCCTGAAGACACACACACACCATGTATACAGCCCCCTTCCTGAAGACACACACACACCATGTATACAGACCCCTTACTGGAGACACACACACACCATGTATACAGACCCCTTACTGGAGACACACACACACACCATGTATACAGACCCCTTCCTGGAGACACACACACACACCATATATACAGCCCCCTTCCTAGAGACACACACACCATGTAAACAGACCCCTTCCTGGAGACACACACACACAGCATATAAACAGCCCCTTTACTGGAAACACACACACCATGTATACAGACCCCTCCTGGAGACACACACACACCATGTATACAGACCCCTTCCTGAAGACACACATACACCATGTATACAGACCCCTTCCTGGAGAGACACACACACACCATGCATACAGACCCCTTCCTGGAGTCACACAAACCATGTATACAGACCCCTTCCTGGAGAGACACACAAACCATGCATACAGACCCCTTCCTGGAGACACACACACACAGCAAATAAACAGCCCCCCTACTGGAGACACACACACACACCATGTATACAGACCCCTTACTGGAAACACACACACACCATGTATACAGCCCCCTTCCTGGAGACACACACACACCATGTATACAGACCCCTTACTGGAGACACACAAACCATGTATACAGACCCCTTCCTGGAGAGACACACAAACCATGCATACAGACCCCTTCCTGGAGACACACACACACCATGTATACAGCCACCTTCCTGGAGACACATACACCATGTATACAGACCCCTTACTGGAGACACACACACATACACACACCATGTATAGAGCCCCCTTCCTGAAGACACACACACACCATGTATAGAGCCCCCTTCCTGAAAACACACACACACCATGTATACAGCCCCCTTCCTGAAGACACACACACACCATGTATACAGCCCCCTTCCTGAAGACACACACACACCATGTATACAGACCCCTTCCTGAAGACACACACACACCATGTATACAGCCCCCTTACAGGAAACACACACACACACCATGTATACAGACCCCTTCCTGGAGACACACACACACCATGTATACAGTCCCCTTCCTGAAGACACACACACACCATGTATACAGCCCCCTTCCTGGAGACAGACAAACCATGTATACAGACCCCTTCCTGGAGACACACAAACCATGTATACAGCCCCCTTCCTGAAGACACACACACACCATGTATACAGACCCCTTCCTGGAGACACACAAACCATGTATACAGACCCCTTCCTGGAGACACACACACACCATGTATACAGACCCCTTACTGGAAACACACACACACCATGTATACAGCCCCCTTCCTGGAGACACACACACACCATGTATACAGCCACCTTCCTGGAGACACACACACCATGGATACAGCTCCCTTACTGGAGACATACACACATACACACACCATGTATACAGCCCCCTTCCTGGAGACACACACACACCATGTATACAGCCCCCTTCCTGAAGACACACACACACCATGTATACAGCCCCCTTCCTGAAGACACACACACACCATGTATACAGCCCCCTTCCTGAAGACACACACACACCATGTATACAGCCCCCTTACAGGAGACACACACACACACCATGTATACAGACCCCTTCCTGGAGACACACACACACCATGTATACAGACCCCTTCCTGAAGACACACACACACCATGTATACAGCCCCCTTCCTGGAGACACACAAACCATGTATACAGACCCCTTCCTGGAGACACACACACACCATGTATACAGACCCCTTCCTGAAGACACACACACACCATGTATACAGCCCCCTTCCTGAAGACACACACACACCATGTATACAGACCCCTTCCTGGAGACACACAAACCATGTATACAGCCCCCTTACAGGTGACACACACACACACCATGTATACAGACCCCTTCCTGCAGACACACACAAACCATGTATACAGCCCCCTTCCTGAAGACACACACACACCATGTATACAGCCCCCTTCCTGAAGACACACACACACCATGTATACAGCCCCCTTCCTGAAGACACACACACACCATGTATACAGACCCCTTCCTGAAGACACACACACACCATGTATACAGCCCCCTTACAGGAGACACACACACACACCATGTATACAGACCCCTTCCTGGAGACACACACACACCATGTATACAGCCCCCTTCCTGAAGACACACACACACCATGTATACAGCTCCCTTCCTGAAGACACACACACACCATGTATACAGACCCCTTACTGGAGACACACACACACCATGTATACAGCCCCCTTACTGGAGACACACACACACACCATCTATACAGACCCCTTCCTGGAGACACACACACACACCATATATACAGCCCCCTTCCTGGAGACACACACACCATGTAAACAGACCCCTTCCTGGAGACACACACACACAGCAGATAAACAGCCCCTTTACTGGAAACACACACACCATGTATACAGACCTCTCCTGGAGACACACACACACCATGTATACAGACCCCTTCCTGAAGACACACATACACCATGTATACAGACCCCTTCCTGGAGAGACACACACACACCATGCATACAGACCCCTTCCTGGAGACACATACACCATGTATACAGACCCCTTACTGGAGACACATACACCATGTATACAGAACCCTTCCTGGAGACACGCACATGTCTTACTAAAGACGCACACAGCCCCCTTACTGGAGACACACACACAGCATATAAACATCCCCTTACTGGAGACACACACACCATGTATACAGACCCCTTCCTGGAGACACACACACACCATGTATACAGACCCCTTCCTGAAGACACACACACACCATGTATACAGACCCCTTCCTGGAGACACACACACACCATGTATACAGACCCCTTCCTGAAGACGCACACACACCATGGATACAGCCCCCTTACTGGAGACACACACACATACACACACCATGTATACAGCCCCCTTCCTGAAGACACACACACACCATGTATACAGCCCCCTTCCTGAAGACACACACACACCATGTATACAGCCCCCTTACTGAAGACACACACACACCATGTATACAGACCCCTTCCTGAAGACACACACACACCATGTATACAGCCCCCTTACAGGAGACACACACACACACCATGTATACAGACCCCTTCCTGGAGACACACACACACCATGTATACAGCCCCCTTCCTGGAGACACACACACCATGTATACAGACCCCTTCCTGGAGACACACACACACAGCATATAAACAGCCCCCTTACTGGAGACACACACACCATGTATACAGACCCCTCCTGGAGACACACACACACCATGTATACAGACCCCTTCCTGAAGACACACACACACCATGTATACAGACCCCTTCCTGGAGACACATACACCATGTATACATCCCCCTTCTTGGAGACACGCACACGTCTTACTAAAGACACACACAGCCCCCTTACTGGAGACACACACACACCATGTATACAGACCCCTTCATGGAGACACACACACACACCATGTATACAGACCCCTTACTGGAAACACACACACATATGCACACCATGTATACAGACCCCTTCCTGAAGACACACACACACCATGTATACAGACCCCTTACTGGAGACACACACACACACCATGTATACAGACCCCTTCCTGGAGACACACACACACCATGTATACAGACCCCTTCCTGGAGACACATACACCATGTATACAGACCCCTTACTGGAGACACATACACCATGTATACAGAACCCTTCCTGGAGACACGCACACGTCTTACTAAAGACGCACACAGCCCCCTTACTGGAGACACGCACACAGCATATAAACATCCCCTTACTGGAGACACACACACACCATGTATACAGACCCCTTCCTGGAGACACACACACACCATGTATACATACCCCTTCCTGAAGACACACACACACCATGTATACAGACCCCTTCCTGGAGACACACACACACCATATATACAGACCCCTTCCTGGAGACACACACACACC